TATACTAATTATATTTTAGATTTTTTATATTTAAAATGAGATGTTTATCCTGTATTTGATTGTGTTTATCTGCAGTTAGTTACACGAATTCAGATATGTGATGGAATCGGATAGGGATGAACGTGTTTAAGAGTTTTTAAGAGTTTCAAGAGTTTTAGTCGAATGCTTTATAATATAGTATATATATATACATATATATATATATATATATATATATTCACACACGTATTTGATTAACCTGTATATCCAACCCACTATGCGAGCCGATTAATCCCAGAACGACAACGTGCTTTGCAGATAGTCCGGAGTCACCGCATTTGAACCTCCGTGACCACAAGGGGATTTTTATTCCCCCTTGGATTTGAATCTGGGACCTCCTGGTATTTTTGACCCCTGGAGTCAAGCTTAAACCAATCAGGCACCACCCTTGTGATTCACAATACGTATTTAATGATCACTTATTTGTTCTTTTTTATTAATGATGAAAGTGTTACGTGTTTTTATGATGCTTGATAGGAATTCGATGGTGTTGGATACATGCTTAATTGAGTTCAATATGTGTCACTACAACAAAATTGAGTTTATAGGAAGTCGAAATTGTGCAATCTCCCAATAGACTGTTTTATAAGACGTAAGTTTTTAGGACCAAACGTTAAAGTGTCTTATTTAAAGATGTTGCAATCGGTTTATAGGACGTTTTAACAAGTTTTATATGACACTTTTACAAAACCTTCGTATTAGCTATTTTATAGAACACCATTTGAAAAAGTGTCTTATATAAACAAATGCTCTATAAAAAGCATGTTTATAGGACACTTGTCGAAAGTAATTTATAAAATAGCTAATACGACGCTTTTTCAAAAGTGTTGTAAAAACTTATTAAAACGCCAAAAAACGTCTTATAAATCTATTGCAACACCTTTAAATAGGACACATTCACGTTTGGTCCTAAAATCTCATGTCCTATAAAACAGTCTATTGAGATGCTTACATAATATTAACGTCATATAAACCCAATTTTGTTCTAGTGTTACTCAATGAAAGTAGCAAGAGAAGAGCAATCAAAAAGCAATTGATCGTCTTACCATATTGAGCAGTGAACATCGGATTACCCGAAAGTTCTAGCTTTCAATTTCAAACCATATTTTTTACCCTAAAACAATAAAAACACAATTAAAAAGCAGTCATCGTCTTAATTGAAACAAAAAACAAGAACCAACTCCGTCTCATGAACGAAACCATAAATTAATTTCACGATAAACATCAAAAATGGAAAATAACAGTGTACGTTGTTACCTTTGTTTTATAGTTAGGTTTATGGGTCCGTATGTATAGTTAACAAGACGATTTTGGGAGTAAGGTGGAACAGATGGTCAAATTGTCGGGTTTGTAGTGCAATGAACGGGGACAAGAATCGAGAAAACAGAATGATCAAAGAACTTGCATTAGTATCCATCACTGACTACAGTGGATCATCAATCATGACTTTTTTAAAGTCATTGTACGCGTTTTCTTAAAAAAAACAATATTATAATATTTTAGAAAATATTATCAGTTTTTTTTAACAAAAATTCAAATACATAATTAAACGATAAAACAATTAATAAAGAAGATCCGACTTTTCAATTGGAGTAAATTACACAGAATCTGATAAAAGAAAGTCGTAGGAAAATATAAAATGATTTACGTTCGTAATGGTTACTTATTAAAAGATCGTTGGAGTGTCAGCACATGATTGATGATAAATCAGCCCTTTATTAATGATGTGTCAGCACATGATTGATGGACCAGGAGGAAACCCTCCCTCAGGCTGCCACGTAGGTCAACGTTGGCAATCCGTTTCTTTTTTCGGTGGCCAACGGTAACTTTTCTTTCTATAGTTATTGTTGACGTATCCTAACCGTCTTTTTTGTTATATTTTTATAAAAAAAATAAGTATAAATTGAAATTATTTTACCAGTTTTAGATTCTTTTGGCAGTATGTCATCTAAAAAACCTGTTCTTTTCTTTCTTGCTGATCACCAATCTCAAACTAAAATTTAATGTTGGTTAATTTAATTAAAATGAACGGAAATTATATAACTAATAAATAAACGTTTTTGTTTGAAAATTCACTGACGGAAGTGCAAAATAATAAAATGACGCATTTATCTTGCTTCTTTTTATTATTTATCTTATCTTAATTAAGGCTATCATATATTTATAGCAATGTAAACATCATTTTATCTGTTGTAATGATTATTTAAATATATTTCTAATACGTTTAAGAAAAAATCCGAAAAATACATGTACTAATAAGGAGTTGTATTATTCCCAAGAACGAACAAATTTCATCAAAATATACTGTAACAAATAAATAAATAAATAAACAATTACAAGACAATAGGCATTTCCATCATTGTTTACGATTAAAACTCGATCGACGTGATGGACTTTAGCCACGATTAATATCTGTATGTGTTGCTTATTTAGCGAAGCGTTCAGATTTTTATCTGTTGGGATGGACGTGAAGAAGAATCAGAAACCGGAACAGTTGTAGAAGTTGCTTGAGGATGAATCTTTTTGAAGAAATTTGGGAAGCATCCGATGGGCATAGAAGGATGATCATCGTTGTCGAGCATGCTTTGTTTGGTTGTACCATGTGCATTGGGAGTTGTCTTCTTCATCTTTTCTTGATGGTGCTTTCTCAACACATAAGCTTCAGCAAGGGCAGAAGTGGCAATCGACATTTTTAGGCAACGAAATAAGAAGAGAAGGAAATGTGTGAAGGGATGTGTTGTGGGAATAGGGGTAGGGGTATTTATAGCAAAATCTTGACTTGGGGAGCACGTTGACTCTTTCAACTTTTTCTATTTGTAGTATAAAATGTCTAAAATATCCTTTTTTTGGTTTGGTTATATGATAGATGATGATGGGTAAAATAGGAATAAAAGAAAGAAATACGAGTTATTGGGCCGTTCGGATTTGGCCAACCAGGTTCGGGTTTGGGTTCTCGGAAATTGCATTGGGATCCGGGCCCTTTCTAGATTTAGAAAGTCAAAGTTATCGCTCATTTGACTTTTTCTTGGATTACAAGGAAGAATATTGTTTTTGACGTCATCAAACACGCTTTCTTCTAATTTTTATTATTGCAACTTAAATCCCATCGATTCCATATTTCTCTTATAAAATGTGACAAATTACAGTAATTTATTAATATTTAAATGAATAAAAAAATTATTTTCGATTTTTCCGACCAATTAAACAAATACACATCATTAATTTTTTAATATATATATATAAAGTTCGTTTCAAATTCAACCCATTATATTTGTATAATAAATACAACTCAATAAATTGAGATATTTACGGAAATCATTAGAGTTCATTTATTATAATTTGAATATTTATGAAAGATGGATGTAATTCATTAATTATGATCAATATTTTATATTAGAAAACAATAAAAAAATTATGAAATCACATATTTATCAAATTAAATGTACGATTAAGATTGGATTGTATTGGTTGTACAAATGTAAAGAATTGTATAATAACTCACCCCTCTCTCTCTCTCTCTCTATATATATATATATATTTATTTATTTATTTCTGCTTTTTAATAAAGCTATAAGTTTTTTATCGTATTCAGATATTTTATCGTGTGTTTTAGTAAAGGAACATATCTAATATAAAAAGTGTAAAACCAAAAGGATCACATCAAATTATCGTAAATACAGAGCCGTTTTTTAGCATTTCAAATATCTTATTTTGAAATTTAGTTCGAAGCCTTTTATCAATGAATGTAAAACTATAGTTCATCTTAGTGCCATTCTAATATTTATCATAATACAAAAGTAATTCCGTTCATTAGCGCTTTTTTAATTTGTCTATATATATTTCTATTATATTTTATTTTACAGTGCAATAAAAAGCTTTAGATGTAAAAAGGCCATCAAAAAGATTAAAAACTGGCTTTTTAATACTAGCCATTAAAACCATATGGGTAACAACGATATTTAAAAGACAAACCCGATTACGATTCATTCGTACACAAGTGCCATAAACTATTATCTGCTAACTACGCGGTTATTTTGCAATGGTGCTATTAACGACAAGCTAGGTGTGGCAAAATATCGGTATTTAGCGACATATGGGTATATTATACATGTTTGGGGATTTATATCGTTTCAAGCGTCTAGCAGACGTTGGGGCCGAATCCCATAACCCCGTTTGCGGAATCGAAAGATATCTGGATGCCTTCTTGTTGGATATTTCCAATAATGGAAAGTCCCGACGAAGTTGGGGCAAAAGCGAAGCAGAATGTTCCCATATCATCCACTGGAATTAGGAAGTTGCTAGCAGGAAGTGTCAACACTGGTCCTCCAGAGAAATAGAACGAAACAGTGGGGACTCGCACGGTCACAAATCCGTTAAGATTGTAACACGTGTCAAATATTGAAACTGGTCTAGTTCGAGGTAGGTTCGTGGTTTGTGCTATGAAAGCATCGCGAAAAGTGGTATAAGCAATGGTCGGGAGTCTAGTGACGGCGGTCCCCGTGTCCATCACAACTCCTCCATGGCCCATATCACTCAACTTAAAAATGGGTTCCGGTATGGTTACCTGAACCCCACCCACCCCGAGACCCGAAAGTCCAACATAATAGAAGCTAGGGTTTCGTGAGTTTTGCAACAGCGGGACCCAAACTGCACTGTCTGATGGGAGAGATTCTCTCCCGAACTCCAGTGAACCCGGGGAACCAGTTCCTCGACTGACAAGACAATAACTAAATGCGCCACCAGCTTCGCCACCGAGTTGACTCACCAATGACATCGAGCCACCGCCAATACCGAGCAATCCAGCGGCTCCAATAAACAAGCCTTGGTTTCTATGACCACATCCGATGGCAACGTTGCGTATGAAGGTATTGCCAAAAGTGAGTGTCTCGAGGGCCAACGTCCCCTTTGTGTAGGATCCATCACCATAAGTGACCTCGTACTTGCACCATCGACCACCGCCATGGCCACGGCAGCCGGCAGCAGTCTCTGCGTGTTGACACACAGTAGACGCGCAAGACACAGCCACAAATGAAGCTGAGTTGGCTGGGTCAAAAAGCGGGTCCGATTGTTCGTAACACTGCTTGCATGGCAAGCACTGTATCCACACAACATCGCTCCCGGAGTCAACCACCATGTATTGACTACGGGGCGGACTCCCAACCCCTATCCTCACAAAATACTCTCCACTTCCCTGTTGCATGCCGGAAACCACCTCCGACCCGAAATCCTCCACCTCATACCGCCCCCCGCCCCCACCGCCCTCACTGCCATGACCGTCAATTCGCCTATTCAAAATTGCCACCCTTTTCACATCCCTTTTCAACCGAGCTTCCGTCCGCCGTTTATGACCGACATCATTCTCCGACAGCTTGTCACGGTGGACCAGGTTGAGCTTCCACCTCGTGCCGTCGTGAGACTCGTCGGAGGTCAATATTTCATGGTCAAATAGTTGTGTATGGGGTACATGGGAAGCTGATTTAGTGGTGTGTATGATTTCTTGGACGGCAAGGAATTGATGAGATGGATACGACAAGGACGATGCTGCAGCAGCGGCGACGGTGGCTAGTGGTGGAAAATACATCATAATGGCCACCTCCACCAGCATAGTTAATCCAACCGTCATCATCATCATCATGATTTCTTTGTTTTCCGTTAGCAAATCCAACCGGATATCATGGTGTATATAAAGAGTTTTTCTTTACTATTAATTAATATCAAAATACTTAAATTTTCTTTGGAATTAAATTTTATTATATATTTTTTAGATTGAAAAATGAAAAGTATTTATTTTAATTAATTAATTAAGTTATGAAGAAGGAGAAGCATGCATGTCAACTAATCCACTAAATCTTGTTGCTTTCAAGCATGGTGACACAAACTAAATCAAATTCCCCACTAAATATTCAATAATTTAAGGGTTGTGTGAGATTGCTTATAAAAACAACTTATTGACTTATTCTAGTGTGACATCGGTAATAAACATTTTTAAGTGTTTTGATAAACAACTTATACCGGTGTCAAACCGGTAATAAGAAGTTTTAAAAAAAGTTAAACCTCTTTGACTTATAATAAGTTAATAAGTGCTTTTATAGAAAAATACAAGTTGTTTCAAATAAGCAATCTCAAGAGAGACTTAAACAATTAAGAAAAGCCTCTAAATAAGCTATAAAATACTCTATGTCTTACAATGAAGTTATAAGGCGATATGGATCAAATCCACAATAAAACGTATATCATATGATGATTTTCGTAATTATCTTATCACAATTTATAACTTTAAATAAAGCATAAGAACCAAAAATGTAATTCACTAATATTTATTTTATGATTTTATTTTGAGATGAAAATTACATACGTACCTTATAATATCGCAGTCAGATATAAATTTTACTGTAAAGTGAAGATGACAAATTAATGTAATTTTTAATTAAGAAAAATCATAAATTTAAATAAGTTAACTTTTTAATTAAAAAAATGCATATTTTATTTAAATAGAAGGAATATTTTTTTTATCTTTAAGGTTGTTAATATCCATTTTGTATTAAATACTATTTTCGACATTTAGTTAACATTTTCAGCAATTTATGGATTTGGTCCCTGTGGTTTATATATAGTGTGAGAATAAGAGTTATGATGAGAAACATAAGAAATGATATTGACTCTTGATCACTTTTAATCTCATACTCATCCCATGAATTGCGCTTGATACTAGAATTGATCCAATGCATCCCGGTGCATCTCATCATTGTTGATTTTCACTTAGGATTGACTCAAGGTTGAAGATCTTTTTTTACCCTTCTCACCATAACTTTCATTCTTATCGGAACCTCATCTTTTTTTTTTTTTTTTGAAATGCAAACAATCTTATTAGATCGAAAAAGAACAAGAGAGAGAGAGAAAGCCGGTGCAATTCTACAAAGTGTAGAAATAAGAAAGAAACTAAACAAAACCTACACACAAGTCACCGAGTCGAAAAAAAGAAAGCAAAAAAATCCGAAAGAAAGACTAAACTAAACCACAACGAGAGGCCAGCTAACTTTCTGAGCAACCGAGAAACCAGTAACACTGATATATCCAGTAAATACTGAAGTGTTATAATTTAACATTAACCTTAATAAATACATATCAAATATATCAAAGTGTCACAATTTCGCATTAACCATTTGGAGAGCAGAAATGCTGTTATTATGATAAAACAATATAAATTTAGTGTTTTCGCTGGTCTTACAGTTCTTCAAACCATAAAATATCTAATACCTCATTTTTCAACTAATTTATAAAAAAATTGAATTTTTGCTCGAAAAAATTATTTAAAAAAACTAAAATGACATCAAATATTCAAATAGTGATTAAACTAAAGGATATGAGTACACCAAAATTGATTAGATTTATGGATTCAAATAATTGAGTGGGATTAAATAAAACAAAATGGAGTTAACATAAAAATAAAGAAATAATTATTAATTAGCCAAAAAAATAAGGATATTATTTATTAACCAAAAAAAAATTGAGTGGGGAATGAGATAATAATATGGAGAATTGGGAGTACATAAGACATGCACAAATGTTTCAATTATTGAGCCATCATTATGGCCAAAAAGTTTACTTTTACTACAATATATAATATATATTATATTAATTAATTAATAAACTAATATTTTATTCAGTATTTAAGTGATGGAAAATCTCTCTTTTCTAATAGTTCCTAAGAGAGAGAAACAAATACAAAAATATAAAATTTTCATACAAAAGTAATTCTTTTTTCTTAATCTTATGAACAAAATCTAAGAATCGATTTGGTTAAAGAGGGAGGCAGGTCTGATGACAAATTGGGTGTGAATAAAGGATTCGGAACTGTTTAGAAAAAGAATCGATTTGATTGATGAAACATGAAAAACTAATTTATGATTCAAATGTTTAATAATATGAACGAATAATCAAATTGAATTCAGAATTTACCTGAATGGTCAAGTTATGGGTTGATAAAGATAGACTTCTGTTTTTGAAAATTATAAATTTTGATTTTATAGATTTTCCGATTACATTACTGTTTACTATGTGATTGTATTTTATTGAACCTGTTGATAAAAAAACCCGACTATTTCAAAAAATTATGGTACAATTAATACAAATTTAGTTTTTCAGTTCATATGAATATTTTATTTCTTCGAAAAAGCTATATTTTTAAAATGTAAATAGTTGATTGAAATATTGCTTATTTGTTATTTTCATTATAATGATGGATGGAGAGCATTTTTGTTGACAAGATTGCTATATTATAGGTTGAGTTTCGATGAGAATGAAAGTTAAGATAAGAAACATAACAAGGGATCTCCACCATCGGATTCATATTAGAATTAGATGCATTGGGTCAATCCTCGTATCAAACACGATTCGTGGGTTAGTTTGAGATTAAAGGTGATCAAGAATCCAGATCTTCTCTTATACGTTTCACTTTAATTCTCTTTCTCACACGACCTTTGCCTATAACTATATATATATATATATATATATATATATATAGTTAGGTTCCAGTGAGAAGGTGATCTCCACCCTCAGATGTACATTAGAATTAGATGCACCAGATCAATCTCCGTATCAAGCATGATTCGTGGGTTAATTTTAGATTAAAGGTGATCAAAAGTCCAGATCTTTTTTTACACTTATCACCTTAACTTTAATTCTTACACAATCATTCACATACATACATATATATATATATATATATATATATACATATATATATACATATATATATATATATATATATATTAAAATATATTGAAAATTTAACATTATGTGATTCAATATTTTTATATAAAATTTTACTTTGTTAGGTCAGGACCAAGACTTAAACATTGTGGGCTACTTTCTAACCAAAGTCGCATTTCAAAATTAAAAGATATGCTTACAGACCAGTACCCACAAACTTCATCCATAAAAGTTGTATATCCTCATAATCAAATACCTTCTATTATTTTCATTTGATTACCATTTAATTGAACCAATCAAAACTCAAAACGAAAATACTTCAATCAATCAATAAACGCTTGTTAAATGGAAAGAGATTCGAACCATTGAGCTCGACCAAGTAACAATAGTCCCCCGAAATTGGCATTCCGAATGCATAAAAACAAGACCCATTTGATTGGAACTCGAAAGACCACTATTTCTAGCCTGCCAAATGAGAGACCATGCCGAAAGAAAGGCGTAAAGAAAGATGAACCAGACAAAACCAAAACGGACCCAGAAAATCCCACTTGAAAATAAGGCCCCTAGACGCCAGGAGGGGGCAGGGTTAAGCAAACCTGACCACTACGTAAACGGTACCGTGAAGACCCTAACTTGTGCAATTGTGTGAACAAAAAGGAGATCAAAGTAATAGGATTCATGACAAACCTTTTTTCTCCAAACTATGCATAAGGTACAAGTGAATATAGCATGATTCCTCTAAGGTTTGGTTGGTAATTACCATCCACCAATGTATTGGTTCAAACATACTTCATCTCAAAGGACACATAACATTCAGGGGAATACATGCCAAGATTTTGGACCAAATTGAGGATTTACGGTTTGATCAACATCCTCTAATTACCACTCTCTTCCTAAATTAAAATCTCGAATATTAGCAAACGACTTGTCAGGGTCGTCGTCTCAATGAAACCTTTGGAATTCACGGCATAGTTACAAAGACCCTGAAGTCGTATGTGACCGTATATCATCATGTCAAAAGATACAATCCCACAGGAAGTCTATTAATGGAACTTCAAACCCTGCATTCTGAGATACATATAAAAATATCATAATCATGTGTTATATTATGCTCCCTCTCTCTCTCTCTCTGCTCCAAAAGGAAAAGGTTTTACTTTTGAGGTCTTGCCAACTAATTTTCTACACCTTTAAATTGATACGACAATTTCCACTAAATCATTATAAAAGATATGTAAAAAGGTGTATATTATCAACAGTCCCTTCAAATCTCATATGATTATATAATTATACCATATGAAAAAGCACACTTTTTAGATGTTCTTTATCTCTTCATATGGTTCTCAGAAAATTTAGTAACCTTCTAGTTTTTATACTCGTTCCAAGAACGTTACAACGTTTGACCAAATACATAGTTTAGGAGAAATGTTCTAAATACCCTTTAATAATGACAAGATAGAGGAATCGTGTGGACTTGAAATCGATATTATTGATTGATGACAAGGGCAAGAAAGTAATTTAGGCTAAAAAGTTACCAAAGGAGCACTAGGGATAGAATAAAAGTCATACCCAAAGGAGAAATAAGGTGCTAACCTGGTGTTTCGAAGATTATAAGGACAATAGCTGGGACTTATGATCAATGCCATTGAAAATGAAAGTTCCCCTCATAGGAACAAATTGTCTCGTGATAAGCTGCAGCAAAACACAACAGTTAAAAGTTAAATCACATTCAAACAGCAGAACTAAAGTTCAACCACCACAACTCACAAGTCAACAAGGTAACTTGACCAAAAATGATGTCTATTTTATTATACTCCCACCATAAAAGTCCAATGTTTGGGCGTGTAGTATTTATCATTAGTCCGAGACTACCAGGAAAATGTCTAAAGTACACTTTGGTAATACAAAATATCAAGAATGTTGTAAACCAAGGCCAATCTCATCTTTAACTTCTGATCATAAACTAATGGGCAAATAAGGAATACTCCCTTCATCCCATGAAAATTGCAATACTAGACCAAACACATATTTTATGAAATTGTTTTGACTATTAGTCATATGCCTTAAATGCCCTTCAACATTGACAAAAATACGACGATTTAGTTGACCATAATCATTGACACTGACAAGTTGTAATGATAAAATTCAATAATTGTAACTTTGAACATTTGCCAAATTAGAACATTTCAATTACTATGAGATATCCTAAGATGGTGTTGGTGACAATTTTTATGGGACACGGCAAGTGAGTAAGGAAAAGATAAGCACTCAAACCTTGATCACTTCCTGTGATGCAACTCCACCGATATAGGCAGCAACTGCATGGAGCTCAGCAGCACCATAACGACACATCTCATTAATAAGGTCTTCTGTCAAGGTGGAGCCGTTGCAGCCCAAATCACTGAGAAGGCTAACCGCTGTAGTTTTTAATCTGGAAATATCCTCATCCATTGCACTACAGAACACTAATAAGAGTTAAAAGAGAATAGCAGATGTGTTTACGTATTTGGTAGTGACATTAAAGTGTTACCCATCAAACTGCCCAGGGAAAGTATTATAGTTTGCTGAGAATCGATCAACAGCTCGAAGCAAAATATAGAATCCCACAGCAACGCTGGCATTGACAAGAACAAATAACTATCAGAAAGAATACCAAAAAGCAGATTGCCATTTACAATACCAAAGCCAACTCTTATAAGGCAGAGGTGAAAGCAGACTACAACCTCCAAAACAAGGTCAATGGAACTGGATCGATTTCCATGACACCCCATGGGATATTAGAAAAAAAAAACGTCGAAAGTAAATTACACATCTAGATATATGTGGAGTAATTACTGAACCCACAAGCTCTCCTTTTTATCGGTGGTGGCCATTCCATTGGTTAATATGTAAATGGTTGAATTTACTGATATTGAAGAATCATTTTCTTGTCTTTTTGTTCCATTCTTTACATTCTTTTAGCTAAAAACAGAACTTCTATAAGATGACGTAATTGTATTTCAAAACAAATATCATTTTTAAAAATAAAAAGAAAACATATATGAAGACAAAAACCAAACCGAACACACCTGGTAAGTCCCACTTTGAAGTAGAGTATGGGGGTGGGATGTACACAGACCTGACCTCTATCCTAAAGAGTAGAGCGGTTGTTTTCGTGAAGACCGCAGCTTGTGAAAAGGTTTTGCAAAAAGAATTTAGAAAAAGCCTGAGTGCTTCATTTCTCAAAAAAAAGCTGGAAGCAATTGAAAAGAAGTAAGGAACTTTGTCCAACCGTAAGTTCGGAAAGAGTTTTTGACAAGAATATCCAAGACTAAAAACCAGTAAAAAAGGTAAAAAGAATGCTACACAAGCAAGTACAAAAAACATAGGAAACAATAGAAATAGAACGATAACTCTATAAGCTAAACATCCCTCTATCTTAAGGTTCTCAAAAGCTATCTTTTGACTTCCTAACCCTCCCCTGTCACACCTTCTCTCTCTCTCTCTAATCTCCTCTCCTCCCGTCGACGCTAGTTACAAGTCCCTACACATAGTCTGCTACCTTATTTCTGCGTCGCCAAGAACTCCTGTAAGAGGTCATACCCTAAAAAACATATATGCAGACAAAGTAGTACATAAATCATTAAATATTTTACAACCATCAATGTCAAAAAAAGGCTTAAACTCAAGATACACTATTACTATATCTAAATGTAATACAATATAATAGGAAAAAATTGATAGGGGCAAATCATCCATTTATCAACTCCCCTAATGCATTAGCATTCCCGTTTACCAAAATCAATGATGTACCATTTTGCCATTTTTGTACATTACTGAAGAGAAATTCCCAAATTCCCGTTCCTGTTTGGCACCTTGAGAATATCCCAGGACAAGAAAAAAATTGCACTCACACAATTCCTTTAATCTATCTCCTTACTTAGAACTTGTAAATTTTTTATCCCTCAATTCCTCAAAAAGTATTAAAACCAAACCTTTTCTTGTTAGTGAATTCTTTCACTTTATCGACTTTGAAGAGCATGCATCACTTTTTTCGGCAAAGCAGTGTCCTTTTTCTTTTATTTTTTTCCATAATATAATAAACTAGACTATTCACTGTATCTATCATATTAATATTCAAGGACACCTGGTTATTCCGAAAATGGTAAACAGACAATGATACCTGTATTCCTCATCAGTCAAATATTTTTGCATCTCCGGTAAAATTGGAGAATTGAACTCTTCCTCAATGAGCTTATATCTGCATACCTAGAAAATGAAGTGACAATTACATACAAGATGATTCAAAAGTAGGCAAAAAATTTAGCCAATGTCATTATTCCACAGTAGAGGCCAAGTTTCTACAATGATCATGGATCCAGCATGCTCATACCAGAGTCAGATTATCCCGTGTCCCTGTGCTATAAAAGATTATGAGATCACTATTCAAGTCATATAGTTCAAAACTAAGCATACATGGTCCCCTCATTCAAATATATCCAGTTTCAGTATTTCGACCTGAAAAAATCCATTTTAGACTAAAGAATAGGAATTTGCATCTATATGCTATGAAATTAACAAATTTTAGTTCAACGTCGTTAACAATAAGCATAATTGTTTTACAGGTTCGACTTCAACCTTTAATTTGTTTACTACAGATTTTCTCAAGAATTTAATTTCTATTATTAATATCACTTATTTGTACCCTTTTTCAACCAAGTAATATTTGACCAGCATGGGAAGGATATCACAGAACGGAGAAAGGCAGTAGATGTTCTAGTAATGAAGTTCAAAATTCAAATGGAACATTTGAATATTGAATTGGCTAATACCAAACAAGATACATAAATAATATAACAGATATGAGATAGCTGGTATGTGAGATATTCGGTCAGATATACAGTAAATGAAAGCGCTCATATATACCATTCAAGTTCATGGAACTTACTGTGAGTTTTCTTGCATTCTTACAGAAGCTTTTTATGACTGCCTTGGAGATGCTATATGGATCTCTACCGATTTTTTTCAGGATATCTCTAACTCGTTGCTCAACCACAAGAATGTCAGCCTCAGCCTTAGCCTGATAGAGTTTCTGCAGATTTACATATAACCTAGAATAGAAATAGCCGAGATGCATTCTTGTTACAGCATCCAATACACATACACACATTACGAGGTAAAAATAACAGCACAAGGTCGAAGAATGCATTGCTCACTCACTCGGTAGAGGATGTCATATCTGGTATTGAACCCTCAAGAGGGGCTTCACCACCACCTTCATTAGCAATGAACTCCTGCAATTAAGAAAGATAGACAGAGATGTACATCTTTGTAAGAATGAAGAGAAAGGTATATTTTCATCCAACATAGACTTTCTTCATGGTGGCAATGCTACATAAAGAGTTGGAAACAAGAAGAAGATAAATTTGGACTACAAAATTGAGATTGGTGCCACTCCTTGTGGCAATTCTTGCGATACTCCAACCATTGATAACAAAAATCTAGTAGAAAGCCCAAAAAACCGGAGGGCGATGTGCAGAAATAATGTTCAGAAAAAAAAAGGAACTTTGAAGAACCAGCAATTAGTATCCATGAAAACACAAACAGAACTAGAAATTAGTCTAACGGCAATGCATATTGACTTGGGGAATGGTGACCACAGATCCAAACACATGTTACGGTCTGCATTGGCAAACATAAAGATTTGTTTATTATATCAATCCATACAGCATGGTAACCTACTTGGAGGCTAATTCAAGTATAGAAAAAGAAAATACAGGAACTGACAAGTTTTATTTCAAAAAATTAATGGAAGTTCACTTTAATCGCAGAACGAGTGCCTCAGTATAAAGCCAAAGCAAATGATTTTGTTGATCTGGAGGCAAACTTTCTTCTGAAACATAAAATGAGTTGAACTACCTTCAATGCTGCCACCATCACCCAAAAATCTGATGAACTGGACTCGACTTCAGAGCAGGTATCATCAAGTATTCGTGTCAAATTTGAACCTGGAGTTTAAAAAGATGAGCGTTGTTAATATTATCATTATGAGTCCCCACTATTTCATCTACCAAACTTTGTATCAACTATGGCACATTGACGATTCTCTTCTACATGCAAACCTGAAAACTTGTTCATCGTCAACGTAAATTTAGAACCCATTAACAGAACATAAAACGTGATATGCATGATAGAGTGTATCTTGGGAGACTTTTATGTCATGTAAATCAACAATGTAATTTCAAGGTGTATCTACGAAGTTGGTTTTACTAAAAACAATGTCGACCTAGAGTTCAAATGATAGAGGGGCGTTGTACCTTTAATTTCATATGATTCCATCATGCATTATGATGATCAAATATTAGTTCAACCTATACAAAACTCATATTGCATCAAGAGATATAAAATATCCTTATACTCCTAGTTGCAGAATGAGAAAAAAAAAAACTAGACTTGATTCAAAATGATAACAGGAGTCAAACAGTGGAGAACATAAGCTTTCTACATGTTTCAAACAGGGTACTCTAACTTACTACCCTGCATAAGATACTTGATTCAAAATGATAATATCCACCACATGCATCTAAAACCCCTTTAGTAGAAGGCTCTGCTATGATAATTTCATCTACTTACTGATTCCTCGAGAAGCAAAAACTTTGAATGATGCCTCAATAGCTTCTTTATAATTGTCTTCATCCAATGCTATCATTTTGGATTTTATTAGTTCCTACAAGATCCGAAGCATCCGCCTTAGATACCAAGATACAGGTTCATAAGAAAAAAACTGCAGGGTAATCGAGTGTAAACCTTGAATTCTCTTTTCTCTTCCCTGGTTGACGGCAGCCTTCCACTATGACCTTTAGCCCACTCCTTTGCCATCTTGACAAGAATTAAAATGTATGGGGTGTGTTTATGGGCCACAGGATCAGATGTATCTAAGTCGATATTCTCGGTGAACCTATGAGTGACATAAAATTCAATATCTGATATGTGAAAACTACTCGGTCAATCCAGCACAAACTAACAAAATTACTTTCATTTAGATAACACTAACTCTTTAAGTTCAGGCCATGGATTATTTAATCGGAGATCATCCAGAAAATGATCAGGCTTTGACTCTATCACTGCATGTTCCTGTGACAGAATGGAGAGCAAGATTTCAGCCATTGTGTGACAAAGTCCAACAGTTCACTTGTATTGATAATGAGGCTATGCAACACAACTACAATGATTGGTTTTTATAAGATCAAAATGCAACAAAATTTGCCTTAGTATTTAGTGTAATGATGATTCATTTTCTCAATTAGTGGAACAGAAGTTCAATTATTCCTATTTCATATTCGTGCCCATTTTGACCGATAACTGATAGATCTTGTAACCATCAATGACGTGAATGCCAATTGTAAAGTTATATTACGATAATGTAATTCTTGAGAATGCATGTGGCAAAAAGTTTGTGATATGCATTTAAGTTTTTATCTTAAGAATCATTCTGTGATGGACTGAAATAATGAGGTGAATATTCAAGATAAAAGTCACACCTACCTTCACACTGATTCGAACAAACCCACTGAGGCCATATGAGCGTGCAAATATTAACATAACGTTTGCATCACGACAAATGCGGTCCAGTTTCACCATAGAATCTTCCACCAGCTGAATTTTAGAATCCACAGATAAGGAAAGATAAAATTGTTGTTGGGGGTCATGGATCCAAAACATTCAAAACCCCATTAAGCATAAGATACCAATGTAGCTGAATCGATGCCAGTTAATCAATCCAAGAAAAAATTTGACTTGAAAACCATGGCACTTGCTAAAAAGTTCCTATGGGAAAAAAATGAATGCATTTACAAGTATTATTCAGTAAGTTATCAACATTGTCTTGATTAGCAAGGGAGCCAAGAAATACGGGATACCACGTAGTTTCAAATTCAATCCAGCTTCACCAAACTAAATAATTTCTCTTGATTTTCCTTTTATCCTACTCCAGCTACTTTGGGGTAAAATTTAGTTGTTTGACGTCACTGTTGCTTTACATCGAGATGGTGCAAGTCAGTAAGCCAGATGAAATTCAGGCTATTACAGGTAAAGCTTAGCAAGATCATACCCAAGTATGTTCATAGCCACCAAGGAATTACTATCCAACAGATAATAACCATCGACAATCCATATACATGCAATTACAAATCTAGCATTCTTGAGTTCAAGCCACTTCCATACATAATAAGCTAAGGTCAGGCTCATTATAAATGATGCACTTCTACCAGATTAAAATGAAACTAAAGGATGTACAGCTGACATAAAGGATGTGAAGATGGCCAACTTAATTTTGCCTTCAAAACCACACTTCTTAATGAAAGGATTCACTACAATAAGAAGCGAAACAATTCCCTGAGCAAAGCAGAGGCAGAGGAAATGAGCTGTTCTAATTGGCTTATGACATGGCTCTCGGAACATAGCAAGAATAGCTGTTTAACTTTTATTGTTTATTCCATAGCTTTTCCAATCCAATGCAATATTGACGATAAAAATCACAAACATGACTTTGGTCATTGAAATTAATAAATCAACACTATCTGCCATGCCTCATCTTTCATTTTTCCTTGTAGGCATAATGTACATTAGAATATTGATTATACAAACTAGGGATGATAATGATAGTTCATAAGACGTCATACAGCCTCTGTGCTGACTGTTAAGTCATTTAAACTGCAGTTGGTAAAGTAAACTGACCCATGAATGATTACCTGTGTGGCTACAACCAAGGTAAACTGAGAAAAAAATGAAGGGTTTGTCTCAATTAATGTCACTGGATGCTCTTCAATAAATTTAGCTTTAACAGCATCATTTAGTTCCTGGAGAAAAGCGCAGACACATTTTGCCTTTGGCTGTCCAAGACTCGACTCGCTAACTGTGAATATGACATGTTAAGATTGAAATGATTAACATTAAAACCTAAGAAAAAATCACCCTCGAAAAGTTGTCAGAGGAAAGAAAATCCAATACAGCTGAAACATACCCATAAAATTATTTCCGAGGTCTCCATTTTCGACTTTAGAACCGTCAACAACGGTAATACTTCCAATACCACCAAGAACAAGATTTTTTAGAGTTTCAGAGCCTGTAGGGCCACAATTAAGCAAGCATATACTAGCTTTCTCAAGTGCAGTCTGCCCTTGCTCACCCCAGATCCTGTATTAACATTGCAAATTTCACTTTTAGCTTCAATCATAAAGAAATTAGATAAAGTGATCAAACAATAGAAGACACGCTCTAATCTAATCTGAAATCCCATTCTCGCAGGTGATAACCCCTGCTTCGCAAACGAACGTAATTAAAGAAACAGATAAATGCCACAAGAACATATTGATGAAAAACCTGGATCTTTCACTACAGCAGTTCTTGATTTAATTTTGTAGTCAAATTGCTCAATTTCAGAGATGCTGATGAATGAGCTGGTTAAAGTAAATAAAAATAATTGTCCTATAAAGTTACCATTTTGAAAAATGTAAGCAATTAAAGAGGTTGGTAAACAACTGGATACTTAAGTAGTACTTTTCTTACTCTCCATTTCATTCTCATTTTCATTTTCTAGAAACAAAAATCTTGAACAGGCTATAATAAAAAAATTAGATGAGAAAACCATTTACACATTTCAAACATGTTCTTTTTGCCTTTGTTATTTTCCTTTGACGCTTTTGCTTAAGAGAAACATTGCTCTGGTACCAATGGTTATTTTTGTTATTGGAAAAGCAGCAATCGACATAGTTTGATTTAAAATTTATAATATGCTTAAACCCATTAACCTAAATTTGCTCCTTCAATAATACTCCATCCATCCAGTAACTAGAATTCATTTTCTTTTTACAAGATTCAAATTGAAACCTAAAGCAATCCAGATAGAAACTGACATTTTCCTTTAACTTTTTCATATCCTAACTTATGAATTGAATAACATAGTCACCAATTTCTCCCAATATCCACCCCCCCCCCCCCAAACCAAAAAAAAGAAGAACTTTGTCAATGTAGAAGTAAAATAATAACCCATTTGATCCTCAGAGTCAAAATTTGATTAGCTATGATACAGAGGGAGAAGTTATAGTTGTCATATTAGCCATATCCAGTTTTGCTAAGAATGCCATGCCAACTTAAATCATACACACACCAATTCAAACACAAGTATAAGATTTCTATGCTTCTGTAGCAATAAAGTTTCAACGGGCAACTCTTAGCAGTTTGTTACCGCAAAAGTTACACAATCTGAACCCACATAGTGATTAGATTTCCCAGTATCAAAAAATTTAGAACTCATAACACTTCACATAAGCATTATTACAAACTAATCGAACCACCAGGTGAATTCCTCGCACAAAATTAAGTTGAATTACAGTAATATCGACATAAGGCTAGGGCTAATCAGATTGTGTATAAGCGATAGAGAAAAAGGAACAGGTACATAAGGAAAAATGAGAGAGAGTATGATTGAAGAACGATTAACAATACCTGAGCTGACGATCGTATTTGGTCTTTGGTTCCGCCATTGTTAAGCTCCGCGATCGTTGCAGGTGAACAAGAGTGAGGTTTTTGTCGAAGGAGCAGGGAATAAAGAAGCTTCCTCTATGAACTACCCTTTAGATTGTAATATAGCTTTAATTTTTTAAACATATTTTACATAACATACTTTCAAAACTTTAATTTTGATATCTAAGATATAAAATTATAAACATTTAAATACTCGAATAATCGGTTAAAATTAGGTTGAATAATAAATAATATTGAGTTAGAAAATAGCAAAACCAGACAGTCCGATCCGGTCCACGATCTGGAAGGCGGTTTGACCAAATCGAACGTCAAATACATACAATACATACATAAATACATACATATATTTTAGTATTAGCAAGCCCAACTTTTTTAACTTATGGGCTATGAGCCAAATATATTCTTAAGCCCAATATAAAGTCTAACATCTAACATAATCAAAATTAAATGAATCTACACCTAAAAATCCATAAACCAGTAAACATATCGACACATTTGATATTGATGGTCTCCAAATTTTGAAATTCCTCAAGAACTCTATCAATCTATCGATCTTTCCTAATTCATGATTTGATTTCGGTGCACATCGTCAAAATATCAACCAAGTGATTCAACTCTTTCCTTCAAAATTTTCAATTCCAAAATCAATATGTTCAAGTCCATTAAAGGCCCAAACCGCCTAAACCGACCGGTCTGGACACTCGATGTCAAATCGTTCGGTTTAAAAATTTTATAAACCGTTATTACGGTTTGGTTTGTGGTCTGAGAGATTAAACCGCCCAAACCGAAACGCAAATACCCTTTTTCTTGTCTTAAAAAAAGTATCAAAATGCAATTATATAAGCTATTCTTTTTTCAATTAAAGATCAATTAGTCTAACTTTGGAAAAGAGACTGTAACCGTTGCCGATAATAAACATGTTGTGTCGGATGACTAGAATCCTCTAAGATCAACTAAACAGCCTAAAAACTATGTTTTAACTTCTTAATAGATTTTGAGAAACCATGTTGGTATTATTAAAATGATCAAACTTTTGTTAATGAGGTTAATTGATTTGTCTCTTTATTTTTTTTATTAACCTGGATATCCAACCTGTTATGCGAGCCGACTAATTCCAAGACGACCACCTGCTTTGCAGATAGCCCAGAGTCACTGCATTTGAACATCTGTGGCCACAAGGGGGTTTTTATTTCTACTTGGATTTGGATCCGAGACCTCCAGGTACTTTTGACCTTTTGAGTCAAGCTCAGACCAATAAGACACCACCCTTGTGGTTTTGTCTCTTTATTTATATTATAGATTCGGGATATTCATTTTACATGGTCTAAAAAACTTTAGGGATTTATGTAGAGATTGTGATCGCAAATGAATCCATAATATTTTAAGATTCATACTTAAAACCTGTTAAAACCAGATCTTAAACGTTATTCATTACGGCATGTTCAAAACCAATTGAAATTACACGTCAGTGTGCGATCAAATTCAAATAATAAAAACGAAATAAAAGATCGACAAACAACTTCAGATAAATCCATTTTCGGAGAAAATATAATCAATTATATGAAAAGGGTGGGGATTAATTTCACCCTATGTACAAATTTTATCCTAATGAATTAGCATTCAAATGTAACACATATATGCTACACTAACACTTTCTGCAAGAACTCACCAAATTGGCCCTCTTGAACAAGCTCAAATCTCATACAGAATGATGGTTTCTTTAAGATCATCGATCAATGCGATCGCGAACGTTACTCGCACGGATTTCATCCGCTTTCCATTCAAGATCGCCACACGCAGTAAGAACAGTTGCAAGTATATAATCATCGACGTCAATACCTTCAGCTTCCATCCGATACATAAGCTTCATAGCCTCTCTACAAAGCCCATTCTTTGCATACCCGACAATCATCGCCTTCCACGAAACCAAGTTCTTTTCCGGCATGTTATCAAACACATCCACGGCCTCCGCTACATACCCGCATTTCGAATACATGTTAATCAAAGCACTACCCACAAACACGTTTGCCAATGCCGGCGATTTGCTGATGGATGAATGAATCAATTTGCCATTCCAGATGTTTTCTAGTTTAGCACAAGCTTTCAAAGCCGAAGAAAAGGTGAAAGGGTTTGGAACGATTCCTTCGCCCACCATTTCTTTCAAGAATTCAAGAGCTTCGGATTCATGGCCAAGACGATTGCAGCCAGAAATCATAGCAGTCCAAGAAACAACATCTCTAGAAGTCATTCTTTGGAGAACATTATTTGCAGATGAGTAATCTCCACATTTACAATATAACCATACAAGTGTGCTTCCTAAATAGATATTGTTTTCAATGTGATTTTTGAGAATTTGTGCGTGTAATTCCTTACCCGTTTCTAAAGCTCGAATAATCCCACAAGCCCGGATTATGCTCACCATCGTTAACTTGTTAATGTAAATCTTGCGCCTTTTCATTACTCGAAAGAGATTGATGGCTTCTTCTCCATGACCATTGCGTGCATACCCTGCTATGATCGAAGTCCATGTAACCATATTCCTTCTTCTCATTCCATCAAACACGATCCGAGAATCTTCGATCTTTCCACATTTTGCATACATATCCACCAAAGAAGTCCCTAGAAAAACATCGTTTCTAAAGAGCTTTTTAACAATGGTTCCGTGTAATTGTCTGCCAAATTTCAACGCTTTTTCTTCGCCACAAGCCTTCAAGACACTGCAAACTGTAAACTCGTTAGGTGCAAATCCATCCAACAACATTCTTGAAAACAACACGAATGCCTCATTGCTTTGCCCGTGCTGGGAACAAGCGGTTATGATCGTAGTCCAACAAACAACATCACGAACCCGCATCCTGTCAAACACGCGAAATGCTTTGTCCAGGTGACCACATTGTGCATAAAAATAAACCAAGGCGCTTTCTACAATCAAATTACTGGAATTCCCTTTAATCACGCAAGCATGAAGTTGTCTACCAAGTTCAAATTCGACTCTCCGACTGCATAGATTTAAAACACACACCAAAGTCTTAGAATTTGCTCGTATCCCACTCTCAACAAATTCCATATACAACCTCAAGGCCTCATCCTCAAACCCGTATTTTAAATACCCACCAAGCATAGCAGTCCAAGAAACAACGTTTCTGTCACGCATTTCTTCAAACACCTTTTGAGCATCCATCAGACACCCAACTCCAATATACCCACTTAACAAATTATTATCAAGAAACATCCTTGAATCACCCCGGCACTTGGCAACTACAGCGTGTAACCTTTTAACTTCTTTAATCGAATTACAACATCGAAGCAAATTGCCAAGGTTCTTGCAGTTAACAAAATAACTATTACCAGTATTATCAGAACAAGAGGGAAGTTTATCATCTGGGTTCGTCTGGTAATCATTATACATCGCTGAAAAACACTGAAAACTTTGATCTTTATGGGTACTGCTACAGCTGCTTCTGGGTTTCTTCAAGGGTTTATGGCTGTGGTTTAAAGACGTGGGAAGATGAATATCGACAAGGAACGTCGATGGTGATTGAGGGAAACAGAGCTTTGGAGAAACCAGTGTTATTGTTGAGAACATTTTCGTGATGAAAATCCAAAACTGGGATTCTCCCCCAAACTTTCTATAGGAACCCCAAGATAGCTGAATTCGAGTTTCTGAACTCCATAAATGGAGTTTTGGATATTTTCTTACAGTTTTGTTTGTATTTCTCAAATATCTGAAAATTTATTACAATTTTTGAAATTAAATGTTTTCCTGTCTAAATATAAACAAATAAAATTAAAAATATTTTTTTATACTTCTTTTTAAATAGAGAAAAAGTATCAAGATCTTTAAAGAAAACAACCTTCAATTTCTATGATTTATCAATTTTAAGGGTTAAAAAAATCAACTATATAATTAAAATAATAATAAAAAATACATTTATATTTTTTATTTAAAATAATAATTTGCAAAATTAACGCCCAATCTCTTCTACAAAAGAAATAAAAAAAATGAATTATATATAATATTCATCCTCTTAATTAAATGAAATCTTAAATGAAAAATGATCGTTCAGTAAGAGAGTTTTGGTTTGCAGAATGAATTTTTATGAAATTGGAATTCATCAAATTAATATGACTTTAAAGGAATTGGAATAAAATTTGATCACATATTTGGTTGGTAGGAATTCATCATTCTTTCAAGCAAAGATGAATTCATTAATTTATAGAACTCAAAGTAAACCAAAGAATTACATCCATTTTAATATTTGAATCAAATAAAATAATTGAAATCCGGTCAAAATAAATAATCATTTCAATTTCTTTGAATTCTACAAACCAAATAACATCCAAGTGTTTTGAACGACATAAAATGATCATTTTAACTTTTTATCTACAACAATTGTCTAATGGAAAATTATTATTTCATAAACGTGTTGAATTAATAAAGAAACTAGTTGTGTACCCGCGCAATGCGGCGAGAGCCATTAATTTTAACGATTTTGAAGTTTCATTGGTTTTATAAGATAAGATTTAACGATGATATAAGTTATAGTTGGTCTTTACATATTAATACAATTTGAATAAATAAGAGTTATGATTTCAATTACAGACTATCGATGAAAAAGATTGTATAACAGTTTAAAACCCTATATATTTAAAATCCAACATATTTAAACAACTCCACAAATGTGTTCGATTTACACCAAAGTTTAAAATCCAACATATTTAAACAACTCCACAAATGTGTTCGATTTACACCAAGAGCAAAGAACCAAGAAACTTGAGTTTTAAGATAAACACTCAAAACCAATAAAGAAAACTACAAATTTGACATATCATAAGCCATGAAAAAGACCAAAAAAGATGGGTTTTAGAATGAAATTTCAACTGCTTACCCGCATTCTCCACAACTATAACCTCCATCATAACTGCAACAACACCAGCCATCACAGTCCATTATCGTTACCACCACCTCTACAACCACCGCATCTAACTCCTCTGAAATAATTGGAACAAAATTCACAAGGATGAGATACAAACTAAAGAATTGTTAATTTACTCTCATTTGATATAATCTTAATATGATATTTGTTTTAATTATCGAGATGTTTTAATTTAATTAAGTCTAGGAACTATGAACATTATAAAAAACTAGAAGAGTATTCGCACAATGCAGCGAGATGCATATTCATTTTAATGTTTTGTTTTGTTTTTTATCTATGTTGATATATAATACGGTTTATGTGGTTTTGTTAAAGATAATGTTTTTACTTTTAAATAAAAATAAATTTGAAGATATCATAAAATTTTGAAAAAAATATATCGATATTAATATCAAATTAACTATTTAAAAGTTCTCGTTTTTTATACAATTTCTTTAATTCAATTTGTTATTATAATTTAATTTAGGTCTAATAGCGAAGTAATTTATTTTTGGTTTTACAATATAATTTTTATAAAGATAATGATTCTGTTATTACTCAATAATTATCCTAGTTATATTTTAGATTTTTTATATTTAAAATGAGATGTTTATCATGTATTTGATTATTTTTATATGTAGTTAGTTATATGAATTTAAAAATGGAGCTTTAATAAGTTGTACCTAAGCACAATTTACTTGTAATTTTAAATTTTAAGTAATATGCATTAACAAACATCACTTCATGCATAAAGAATGGTTTTTAAGAGTTTTTATCAAATGCTTTCTAATATACTAGAAGGGTACTCGCACAATGCAGCGAGATACATCTCCATTTTAATGTTTTAATTTTTTGTCTTAGTTGATGTTATAATAAAGTTTTATGTGGTTTTGAGAAATCGATAATATTTTTATTTTTTTAATAAAACGTAAATATGAAGATATATTATAAAAAAAAATAAAAAAAATTATTGATATTAGTACCAAACTAACTCTATTTAAAATTTCTCATTTTTTGTGTATTTTTTAACTTTTTTTTTTTAAACTTTTGGTTTAATAATATAATTTTATATAAAAATAATAATTAAGTAGTTTGTTAGAACTTAATGATTATCCTAATTATATTTTAGATTTTTTTAAATATAAAACGAGATATTTATTTTTTATTTGATTATGTTTATCTGTAGTTAGTTACACGAATTTAAACATGAAGCTTTAATAAGTTGTGCTTACGCACAATTTAATTGTAATCTTGAATTTTAAGTAATATACATCAATAAACAATACTTCATACATAAAAAATGGTTTTTAAGAGTTTTTTGTCAAATGCTTTATAATATAGTATAGATTATAGATAACTACAAGGATTATAACATAGTGATTGAGGTCCTGAGAGATGTATGTCCAGGGTTTGATTCCAAATATACACAACAATTATGGCTATTCATGACTGATTTTTATGGTCACAATTTACCAAAGTTAATCCAGACATGACTTTAGAAACTTTAAAAATGTTATAGAAATAAGAGGCCGTTTACCAAATAATTACTCAGTAAGTGTTTATCGGTAAAATTTAACACTACTATTTACTTATCGGCTAAGATTTTAGTCCACTAAAACGGTATCGTATGGAACTATTTACCTGGTAAGCGTTTACTATGGTAAAAGTCGTCACCTTCACTTACCGGATAAGACTCTTGGTCATTTTCTCGTTCTTATCGAGTAATATTTTTTATCTTTACTATATTCAACCGATAAGATAATGTAACTTGGCGTTCACTTATTCGATTAAGCGATCGGTAAACCAACGGGCCAAGAGTACATGTCTTTGAACTTTAAGGACACCAATAAACCACATGGACCAAAAATGTAACTTTAAACGAAGCAAAATTTAAATCATGTGTGGCGTCGTTTTAGGTTAAATTCTTGAAGTTATGTTGATACTGCGGATCAAATCAAGCAACAACCATGAGTTATCGTCCTCAATATCCGCTCTGCAATTGTTCATTCATGCACATTATTCAACAAAATCAACACAAAAGCATCCAATTACCAAGCACCATTTCATGGTGGACTACCTCGTCAATTCTCTAGGGTTTTCCCAAGATCAAGCATTATCCACAGCAACAAAAGTAAGTCATATTAAATCCACCCAAAAACCTGATTCAGTCGTTGATTTCTTCAAACAATGCGGTCTAGGAAAAACTCAGATAAGAAACATCGTATGTTTTTCCCCTAAAATCTTAACTACCAGCGTTGATAAAATCCTAGAACCCAAATTTAGGGTTTTCCAAGAACTTGGTTTATCCGGGTCGGGTTTAGAGAAGCTATTTAAACCAACTCTGGGTTTCTCAAACAATAGATTAACTTCCAATGTTAATTATCTGAGGGAATTATTGGATAGTGATGATAAAGTGATTAAGGTTATTCATAAATCATGGTGGTTGTTATCCACGAATTTTGCTCAAAAATTGTCAGCTAACTTGCTAGTATTGAAGAAATATGGATTTTCAAACGGTAAAATCGAAAATTTATTGATGAAGAACCCTGGTTGTCTTTTGCAATCTCCTGAGTGGTTGGAAACAACCATAAAAAAAGTTGAACCTGTACTGGGTATTCCTCGTGAATCTCCAAGATTTGTTGATGGTTTTGAAACAGTTGCTTCAATGACTAATTCGAAGCTGGAGACGAAGTTTGAAGTCTATAGAAGCTTTGGGTGGTCTGATTCGGAAATAATTACAATGGCTAGAGCTTTACCTGTTTGCTTGAGAAGATCTGAGGCTAAACTTCAAACTACTTTGAACTTTTTTATGAATGAACTCGGTTATACGGCTGCATATTTGGCCACCCACCCGAAAATGTTAGTTTACAGCTTGGAGAAGAGGGTTATGCCCAGGAATAGTGTTTTGGAGATTTTGAAAGAGAAGAAGCTGTTGAAGTACAACTTTTCGCTTTGTTCAGTTGTTGCGCTTTCTGAGGTGAAGTTTCTGGATGATTTTGTGCTGCCGTATTGTGATTTTGTACCTCATCTGTATGAAGCTTACCCCAATGCAACTGGTCATCTGCAGACTATCAGATGACTTGCTTTCCAACTTCAGGTAATGCAACACTTGGTGGTTAATGTGACTAAAACAGTTACTTGTTCATGTATGATTGTATGTTTTCTTGAACCGTTTACAATATCTTTGCTTTTTCGTTGGTTCGCTTTATGTTCGTTGGCAATTCAAGTTACAAAAGATCTGTCGCCTTCTTTTCTATGGTTTTATCTGATGTTCACTTTACCCTCTATACACAATAGCCCTTAAGGTGTTTGCTTAATCAAGGTTGATGGTAGCCAAACATTGAGCATTTCATTGGACTTGTAGGGTGACTTTAATTGAACACAAACATGGTCTAGAGCTATTCACCTTAGTAGCTAGTATGCCGAATCCCTAAACCCTTTGTTCTTTTTGTGATCACTGCAGCCTGTAACATTTTAAGCATGGGAGCTCTGGTCAGAAACTTGACAATTTCTATCCCAAATGCATCAATTTCACGTGTCAATAGTCATCATCTAGGACAGCTGGAAACTTGTTTGTGTTGCTTTTCTATAAGTATTTGGCAGGGTATATTGAGCCTCCATGGCCACAGCCTTGCATTTCGTGTATTAGATATCATGGTTAGATCTAAGCAAAGAGTATGAAAGCCTTTTGCACGACAGCTCCATGGTTTCTTGACTAAAAACTGTGTGCGGATATGGTAGAATGGCTGTTCACCGTAGTTACCTGTATTGTAGAAGATGGAGTGATGTAATTATGGGGTTTAAATCCGTTTCTCGTAGCTAGAATTGCAATTACGTTGTGGTGATTTAAGCAGTTTGTTGTGGAAATCACACATTACCCTTGTGTTTACTGGTTTCATGGATCAGAATTGAAGGTAAATCCTTTTCCCATGGCTTAGAAATTAGGATAGTCAAACCTGGAGCACCCATGCTTTGGGATTTGTACATTATGTAGTGAAAGTTGTACATGGCTCTTTGGTGGAGAAAGAGATTGAAGATGGTATGCAAAGAGACTGGAGACTGAGATTGGTGAAAAGAGAAGAATTTATAGGAGAAAGACAATTAGTTTTAGTGGGCTTAATGTGTAAATGTCTTAAAAACTACAGGGGTGATGGGTAATACTTTTTAAAGTCCATTTTAAACACAATATGCTGTTATCGGATACCAACTTTAAATTTTAAAAGATGGGCACAATCTAGTGATTGTTGCATTGAATCATAGAAAATGTTTAGAATACAATCTTAGTGATGTGTGCACATAATCCCTGGTCTTATGTTGGTGGGAAAGTGTCACTTTCAAGATTTACTTTAAACACCACCATTCCACCAACATCACCAACAGTTTTCATTTTCCATATTTCTTTTCATCATTTTATAAGGGTCTTAATGACCAGATTCATAAGCGGGAAGTTTTGAAAGTTGGTTTCCCAAAATAAGAACGAACATGGAGTTGATTTCATGATGATGCAGTTTTGCTCTTATTATTATATGCATCTTAGGGATCACAATTTCATGTTGTCCCGTGTTATCTAATGCTTATCTTTAGGATAAATTGTGAAGATATGGGACATTATAGTTCATCTTTGATCGATAACTGTGTGTAGTTTCACATGTGAAACAATTGATTCGTGTATATGAATTTGATCATCAAGAAATTGAGGTTAGAAGTCAAAGTTATGTTATGAGAAAGTGGGTTTGTTTGTTTGTTAGTTAGGTTTAAGGTGTGAATCTTTCCAACTTCTTGGATCAAGAATCACTTTTTCTTTAATGAGTCATTATGAATTTGTTAATCACACTTTGATTTTACTTTTGCTGTTATCTTAGTTGTCAAAACAGGGAAGCAACTTGTTTAGGGTTTGAGATTTGCTTTTTACTCAGTTTTATAATTATATATGTTTTTATAATATTATTAATTAAGGATCCTTTTTCGCGTTAAGGTTTTTTGTTCTTTTTTAAATCTGAAAATAGGCTTTATGCAAATGTGTAAGACATTTACGTAAACGTCGATTAAAATAGAAATTCGGTTCCAAAAATGACTAAAAATTAAACTTGGTTGAGAAGATCGACTATTTTGATTAATTCCATGAAAATAATCATAAAGAAAATGATGTATAAACAGTATTCAGAATCTGGTAAAGAAGCAAAGGGTGACCATTCAATTGTTATGGAATGTCAGGTCATTTCACATCAACACACTCTATATTCCTTCCATCTGATTCTCTTTGATTTCCGTTTATCCAAATGCTTATTTATCAGTAATAGTTAATACTTAAACTTATTTTACTGGATAAGATTTTAATCAATCAAAACGAAATTTGTATGCAACAGTTTACCTGGTAAGCACTTACGGATAGGAGTTGTCACCCTCACTTAATGGGCAAGACTCTCGGTTCTTATCATTGCTTTTACTGGGTAAGATTCTCGGCTCTTGACATGTTCTTTTGGTAAAGTAAATGACCTGATAAGTGTTTATTGTGTAACCATTTAGCAATCGACCCCTTAGCCTTTACCTTCTTTTTTTGGTAAAAATTTTCATTTTACCTTCGATTATCTTTTACTGGTATTTATTCAGTCAGTGATTACCTATCTAATATCCTTCAATCATGACCCATTTTTATTTTTGGGTCTACAATGTATCTGTATAGATAAGATATAAGACTGCAAATCATATAGAAATTGTGAAAACCAATTTCATATATCGTTTTATAGATATAACAACTCTGGTGAAAATCAACCAAAACCATTCAATGAGGTTAAACTTTAAACTATGATTCATATTGTTTCATATGTTTTGTTCTTGTTTGTGAGTATAAATGTATGTTTCATGTATAAACGTATTTTTGTGTTTTTTTAGAGGGCAAATTGCATGAAAAAGTAATGTAGTTTAACTTGATTTCTATTTTGGGTAACGTATTTCCAAAACTTTCATTTTGGTATCTAAGATATACAGTTTTAAACATTTAAGTATCCGGTTGAAAACTAATTTTAAACTAAAAAAAATTCATGTCACTAAACATGCCAACAAATAATACTGAGTTGGATATCACATCACTCGCCACATCAGCATGATAACCGGTTAATGCTTTAACCAGTTATCCGAGTACTTAAATGTTTAAAATTTTACATCTTAGGTACAAAAATGGAAGTTTCGAAAGTACGTTACCCAAAATAGGAATCAAGTTAAAGTACGTTACTTTTTCATGCAATTTGCCCTTGTTTAGACGTAAAACATTTTTTGATGTTTTATTTATGAAACAACATTGTATAAATACTGTATTTTTCAAATGTCAATAAGACAACACTTACAAATTGGTTTTTACAACATATAACGTTTAGATGGTTTTTATATAGTTTCCAAAGATATAGAAGACATAAAATTAAGAAAATTGCATTAATCCAAACTCAACAAAATCGTATTGGACTAGAACATAAATAAACAAATATATATACACAAAATATAAATATATCGTTTATTCTAAGGGGTATAATAGTCATTTCATCATCTTGTAACGTCATTTGAACCCAAAAGAGTCGTATCTTTCAACCAGAAATTAAACGGTCGTTCACATAAAAACCTGTAGCTTTTAATAAAATGTGAGAAGTAACTACAACTTAGGGGCTGTTTGACAATTGCTGAATGGTTGGGTGCAGAATGATTAAGTGGTCAGAATGATTAAGAGACTTTCATGATCTTGTGTAAAATAAAATATAATTATTTAGTAATTGTGTACAATGAAATTAGGGCTCTTAATGGTTAAGGGAGATCCATGATACAAAATCATTAAGAGAGTTTTAGAACCATTAAGAAACATACTTTTGTTTTTTGCCAAACAAGATTCACCTCTTAACGATTCAGAGGTTACCTTTTACTGAAACTATTAAGAGGTAAACAAACAACCTCTTACATTATTTAATGTTTAAATTCAAATATTTATTATATATCTCCAAATAGATCTAATTGGCCACTTATGTGTAATGTGTTATATGCATCTCTGACACTACCACCTTTTCTTTTATATATGTGTTGTGATTTACACATCATATTATTAACCATTATTTTAATTCCAACATTATATTCTAATTTCTTTTTTAATTAATTTTCTAATAAATTAAAATGGTTCATACTTTTTTTTATTAACCTGGATATAACCCGCTATGTGAGCCGACTAATCCCAGGACAACTACCTGCTTTGCAGATAGTCCGGAGTCACCGCATTTGAACCTCCGTGGACATAAAAGGATTTTTATTCCTCTTTGGATTTGAACCTGAGACCTTCTGGTACTTTTGACCTTTGGAGCCAAACTCAAACCAATCAGGTACCACCCTTGTGGTTAAATGGTTAATACTTCATTATATAAAAACCAAAACAAATGCTATAAAATATGAGACAGCAGTCAAAATAAATATGAATCAACAGAAATTATGCTGATATTTGATTTATGAAGTAAATATTTAATACGACAATTGAATTTCAACATTTTGAAAAGATCGATAGAAAGAAGATAGGTTTATTTTTTACGTACTTATGTATATTCTGTACATTCAATACATGTCGTGTCTTTTTTTAATATTAAAATATATGTAACTGAAAAGGTCACATACAGTTATATATTTTTATAAAAAAATATTTCAATTTTTATAAATATGTAGAGACAATTAAAAAGACAATCAACATAAAAATATTTTATTTATTATTTTTAAATACGACAAACGATGTCACATAGGTCTAAAAGTAAATGAAAATAATAAATAGTAAATATAAAAAATATACCTAACATGTATAATATATAAAAATACAAATTTATATATATATATATATATAAACCCTGTATATTTGTACAATCAATATAACTCAATCTCAGTCGTCCATTTAATTTGATTAATATGTGATTTTATAAAAAGTTTTGATTGTTTCCTAATATAAAGTATTGATCATAATTAATGAACCATAGTAATCTTTCATAAATATTCAAATATAATAAATGAACTCTCAACATTTCCATAAATATTTCAACTGATTGGGTTATATTAGTTGTACAAATGTAATGGGTTGCATTTGAAACGTATTATATATATAGGGCCTAATCAAATGAGAACTGATTAGTTTGTGGCTTTGTGCTAACTATGAGGTCCAATCTCAACCACAAATCAACGGATGAATTAGAAAATTAATAATTATGAAAGTTTGAGTTAAAATTATAATTAGAGGGCATATTAGGTATTTTTAAAAAACTCCTCTCTCCTCTCTCATCACTCCGACCTCCAATTTCCAGCCTCCGGTGAAATCGGTATCACAGTATATCACAATGGGTATCACATTGTGTATCTTTGTTTTTAAGGTTTGAATTGGTATCATAGTTGGTATCATAATGATATCACAATATATCACAATGAGAATCACATTGTGTATCTTTGTGATTACTTGGTGCTTGCCGGATTAATGTTCACCGGAGGCCGGAGATTGGAGGTCGCAGAGATGAGAGATGAGATATGAGTTTTTTAAAAATACCTAAAATGTCTTCTAATTATAATTTTAACTCAAACTACCATAATTATTAATTTTCTAATTTATCCGTTGATTTGTGGTTAAGATTGGATCTCACAGTTACCACAAACTAATCAGTTATCCCTTGAATGGGTTCCTATCTATCTATATCTATATCTATCTATATATATATATATATATATATATATATATATATAAATAAAGAGAAAATAAAAAAGAATTCAATCTTGTGACATTTATTTGGTCATGGAGACTATCATGCACATTATTCCTTCCAAAAGCTATGATAATTGGAGTACATCTAAAGTGACGATGGAATTGGAGACCCCACTCTTTATACATTTTTTATGTTTAAAATACATGTTTTAAAACATTATTTGTATATTTAATTTTCATTATTCAGATAAAAAATACGACTAAGACCAATAGATGTATAGGGTAATATAGAATCTATTTTTGTTTAAAATGATTTACACGTAAACCATGCAAAAGTTTTTCAGTTTTTGTCGTATAATATAGCGAATCTGTGTGTGACACGTGAACGGTTATAGTTGAAAACTATCAACCATGTAGCTTTGGTCTGTTGGAATATAAAGAGGCCAATTCGAAAGAGTATAAAAGATGAAGCATTTATCTGTACTTTTTATCACCCTTTTATGTAACTTTTTACATGTTATATCTGTATACCTCTTGCACTTATAGAATGAACTACGTGTGATCGGATTTCGTTAACTTATATGCACGTACCAATACGAATTTCGTTTTTTTTTTGACAAAAAAACACGTGAATTATTCCAAATAGAGATGTCTTTGAGATTTTGTAATCTGGCAGACACTACTCTCTCTGATCCTGTTTTTAAAACAAAGTTATAATATTATCCTGATAAAATGTATCTAACAAACCCATTTCATGTTTTAAAGATCTAACTTTTCCAATTCAAAATAAATCAGATCAAAACGATCGAACTCAGTAAACGTAAAATAGGGTTTGATGGTATTACAAATATACTTAGCTTTTATTTCTACTCTAAATGTAAATTACATTCTACACCCCAAAACTTTTCATTAATTACAAAAATACCCTTTAGTTGTAAAAGAGCTCAAAATCACCACTAATTAGTTTTTCTTTTTCCAACAAATGAGAAACTTTGGAGGAAGCAAGAACCAATCATTGACTTTACAAAAGTCAAGTCAAATAGGATCATAGAAGAACATAGTACTACTATAAAAGGAAACATGTCCCTTAGCCACTTAAGAGCATCTTACAAACACTACTTTCCAAAATTTGTACTAAAATGTGAATGTTTTTTAATGTTGGACTTTTACCATTTCAAGCAAGACAAAAAGTTTTCGAAAAGAGACAAATTTTTTAAGAGAAGTCATCTAAGAGCGTTTTGAGTGACAGATGTCTAACTTGTAATACAATGCACGACTCAAGCCTCTCATGAGGTTCCGTATCACTGTTGGTATGTTCGATTTTGTCACTAATTCTCAGGGTCGAATATTTCTTCCATTAATTCTTCAACATTTTGGTTTCATTCTTTTATGAGACCTACACATAAACATAGTTTTCGAGGTTGTTTGGTTCGTTTTTTACTCATTAAGCTGTTATCAAACAACCCCTTATTAGTAGTGAATATATCCAGTTATGCTCTTGAGAGAGAGAGAGAGAGAGAGAGAGAAAGATTAAGGAAAAACTCCTAAAAAATGAAAAATTAAGTAACACTTTAGTAACCATTCATTTGCATACTATACACATAAAATTATATATATATATATATATATATATATATATATATATACATAGGGTCAGGTTCAAATGTTAACCAAAGTTTTTGTGTTAACTTTGTTAACCGATCTTGGCCATTCAATCTTTCAATAAACGGTTGTGATTAATCATGGTAAAACTTATTTTTTTTAATTTAAAATTTCATAAAAATAAGTGAACAAAGTTGAAAAGGATATTTAGGTAAAAAAAATTATGTAACTCCCATATCATTAATTAATTGGGAGTTACAATATAAAAAATTCTATTATTTTTTTGTTAATTTATTTTTGTTAATGTAAGAACCATATGAACACAACTATATATATATATGAACCATTGTGTCAAATATGAACAAAAATTTGACATATATATATGAACTTGGACTGCATAACATTTATGAACATAATAAGAAAAACTGTTATACGAAAGGAAATAAATAAAAAAACATGTATGAACACGATATGAACAACTTGTGAACAATAGTTCCTTTATTATAAACACATTCAGGAGCGATCCTTTGTCAATTGAAGTTTTATACATGCATTGCATCCACACCGTTTAAGGTTCACCCCTTGTTCATATATGTTTCTGATCTTATATGGTTGTTCACCCCTTGTTCATATCGTATAAAATATATGAACACATAACCCCAACGCTATGAACACTGGGTGCAAACACTTACACAAATATAAAGATTTGGTATCAAGCTTAAAAAATAACACTTGTGTTCATATGATAGACGTAACATGAACACAATGGTTCATGATTCATAAAAGTCGGTAATATGACAATATGAAAATGGGTCGTGTATGTACTTCCATTTGAACATGTGATTTAGGTACGTATTTTAGTAATTAAAAAAAAGTTATCAATACAATATGAATTATAAAAAGCACAACACATCGTAATGAACATAATTTCGATTAAAACGAATCTAAAAAAAATAAAAATCTATTACCAAGACATTCGCTTTGGTTAATTTCTTCAATTTCCGACCTCGAACTCCGATTGTCATCATAAACCATTTTAATCTTCTCACTGTTGTCGATTTATATTCCATTGCGTTTATCCATATTAGCTTGATTGATACCAAAAAAATTTACTACCGTGTTTTCTATGCGAATTAAAAACTGATAAAACAATAAACATGGAAGATCAAGATTAAAAAAAATAAAAATATTAATATTATAAATGCATATTTTTTAGGATTTGATGATATGTAACTCCCCATTAATTGTTTGGGAGTTACATATCAAATCAATTTACTGAAATACCCTTGTAATTAAAATGTGAACATGACATAAACCTACAAGAAGAATGAAATTTGATTGGTTGTCATGGTTTTCAAAGTTAACACAAAATTGTTGGTTAACATTTGATCTTTCCCCTATATATATATATATATAATGAGTCTCGTAAGACCAATTTATGTTCATTGATCAACTTTATAAGCTAATGATCTAAAGTTGCATAGTGGCAATTTTGTAATTATTGAAAAGTCTCGTGGCAATTTTGTAATTATGAATGTTTAGATTGTAGATCTAATGCAATGATTGAGAATTAGTGTTACGGGTCTCACGAAAAATCATTGTTCTCACATGATTCCAAGTATATATATATATATATATATATATATATATATATATATATATATATATATATATATATATAAGAGTTTTCCCCTAAATCTGAGTGATATATTAGGGTTTGAAGAAGGTAGATAGTGAAGAAGGGTTGAATTGGTGGCAATAATGAGTTGGTACGCATTTTGAAATTATATAATAAAACCCCCCCATGTCATTCAAAAGCCACACCTTACCTTTAATCAGATCATCTCTTTGCCTTTCCCACGTTAACAACACCATTATCTAAATCACCACCACCTGTACATCCTGCATCAAAACATGTACCTTTGTCTGAATCCATTAAGCTTGAATCTGGAAAAGCATCTTCCTTTCTTTTTGTTAATTAAGATCACTGTTATAATTTGATTATAATACTGCTTAATCTGTCAATTTATTTAGGTTTTTTCCTTCTTTACACAACTGGGTGTTTTTGCTTTTAAGCCATGGATGATGGGTGGTTCCTATATCATCTCAAATTAGTAGTAAATGATTTGATGGGTTTAATTTCTTGTTTATAAAAACCCCAACAATATTCAATCTGTTTGGTTTTCTCAAGATTTCCCCTGCTATCTCCCCTTTCATGCACAGGTTTCCCCCAATTCATCATCTGTTTTCTTCATTAAGTCAATGATTTTGCCATCTGAATCTGTGTCTGTGTGTGTTCTTCTTGATGGGTCTGAGCTGTTTTAGAGGAATTGAAGGTTTGAAACTCCAGATTATGCATCTGATTAGTGTTAATTTTTTGTTAATTAAGCAAGTAGAGAGCCATGACATCGACTTCAACTCAATTTGCAACCTCCAGAAGGATGGGAATTTACGATCCACTCCAACAGATTAGTATGTGGGAAGAGGCTTTTGGAGCTAGTCTTAGCCCTAATACAAGCCCCAATATGGTCATTTCACAGGTCCTTCCACTCATTCTTTCATCTTATTATATCTCTATGTATGCATGTATCATAGATTCAGTTCTTCATGATTATTACAGTTTCATGTATATACATATATATATATATATGTGTGTGTGTGTGTGTGTGTGGTGTATGTATCTATTTGTATGCATATAGATCATGTTTTTCTTTGATTATAGTTCTTTGGATGTCTAAGCATCTGTAATCTGTATGTATATTGTATATTGATTGTGTTCTTCATGATGATCAGATTTTTATTCATATGTGAATATGTTTGTTCTTCTATATGCATACAGACTGTTCTTAGTGATTATTAGCTTAATTATATGATATAGATCGTGTTTTCATGTTATTGATCTTGTCTGATCAATCTTTCTTCGGATTCTTTAGACCGAATACAATTCTCAAGAATCGTTAGGACCGTCACTGGACAATCGAGCAACAAAAAACATTTCGGATAAGGTGATACTATACAATCATATATATATATATATATATATATATATATATATTCACAAATGAATTTTATGTTTGAATGCATATTAGCTTATACTTTTGTTTTTCTGGTTGCAGTTGCAAAGGCGACTAGCACAAAACCGTGAAGCTGCTCGTAAAAGTCGTTTAAGGAAAAAGGTACGAGAAAAGAACTCATGATTACGAACACGAGCCTGGATCTCATCTTGTTTTTTCGCTGTTTAGGCATACGTTCAGCAACTGGAATCGGGTCGTCTGAAATTGGCGCAATTAGAACAAGAACTCGAGCGGGCTCGACGGCAGGTCCACTTACAGTCTTTCCTAAATATGTTTCTTATTAAAACAAAATCGGCTTTATATGACATCATATATGTCTAAATGCCAAATAGAATGTTTTATAGAACTTAAGTTTATATTTTCAAACAATAGTGTATTCTAAAAGTGTTACAATAAGTTGATAGGACGTTTTTGGACGTCTTAACAAATTTTATGACATTTTTTTATCATAAGTGATGTACTACAATCATTTAGAGATATTTGACGTCCTATAAAGCCGATTTTGTTGTAGTATTTATAGCGTCTCGAATGTCCCAACTTCCAACTGAATCTGATTCGTTCGCTCATTTATTGATAACAGGGCGTATACGGGGGTCTTTTGAACACGGGCAACGGTCTGTTATCTGGTAACGTCACTAACTCGGGTACGCCATCTTTCCTTCTTGTATGTTCGTTTTCTGGAACAACCGAACGACGCGATTTAAAGTTTCGGGGTTTTCACGTGCAGGGATTGCTGCATTTGAGATGGAGTATGATTTGTGGGTTGCGGAGCAACAGAAAAAGGACGACGAGCTTCGGAAAGTGCTGCTGACTCATATGAGTGACATAGAGCTTCGTATATTCGTTGATAGTGGCTTGAACCACTACTACGAGCTTTTCCGAATGAAGGCCGATGCCGCCAAGGCCGACGTGTTTTATTTGATGAACGGGTTGTGGAGAACTCCGGTAGAGCGGTTCTTCCAGTGGATTGGCGGATTCCGGCCATCTGAGCTCTTATACGTAAGAACTCCTCGTACCATGTAAATTCGTAGATCTTTAGCTGACTGGTTTCCGATACGAGTGTAAGTGGTTTTGTTCGATTCGAGACAATAAAACTGGTTTTATAGGACATCATATTATGTATTTTATATAACCAAACAATTGTGTGTCTGTGTTACAATAAGTTGATAGGACACTTTTAGGCGTGCCAACAAGTTTTTCGAGACAATTTTGAATAAAGCTTTTATTTAGTCTTATTATATGATATTATTTATATAAAAACAAGTATCTTATAAAAAGATGCATTCACAGTACAGTTGTCAAAAATGTCCTATAAAAAACAAATAATATATTTTATTTTTTAAATATCCTAAAAAACTTGTTAGAACGCCCAAATACATTATAGCATCATGTTGTTACACCTTTATATATGACACAGTTGTTTAATTCAGTCCTATAAATCTGATCATATAAAACAGTTTATTACGGCATTTAGACATTTTTGGTGTCCTATGAAGCCGATTTTGTTGTTGTGGGTTGTGAATACTGATCGGTTATGGTTGTTTCCGGGCAGATACTAACGCCACAGATCGAGTTGCTAACGGATGCGCAGCTCGTGAATGTGACGAGTCTAAGGCAGTCGTGCGAGCAAGCTGAGGAGGCACTGAGTCAAGGCATGGACAAGCTTCAACAAACGCTGGCTCAGAGCATTACGATCGATATAACTGGAGCCGGAAGTTACAACTCGCAGATGACTTGTGCAATGGAAAGGCTTGAAGCGCTCGAGATTTTCTTGAACCAGGTAACGGAGAAGAAGTCCGTTTTTTGACTTTTGAGTCAAACGACCGTCTTTTGGAACTCGAAATTTTCAAGAATTACTTCGATTTTTGTAGAAATTTTTGACAATCTTTTTTGGATATACAAGAATCATTAGATCTACAAAAATTTGAAGACGAAAAACCAAAGAAATCGAAGTCAATTTCGCTTTTGAAAAGCTCAACGTTTGACCATCTTTCTTATCATCTAAAACCGAAATCCAAACATTTTGCAGGCAGATCACCTTCGACAACAGACTCTGCAGCAAATGTATCGGCTCTTAACAACACGTCAAGCAGCAAGAGTGTTGCTAGCGCTTGGTGAATACTTCCAACGTCTTCGTGTACTGAGTTCACTTTGGTCAGCTCGTCCGCATGATCACTCTACAACTTTACTTCCGTGAATGAATTCACGCTCTTTTCCGAGCTTTATCTAGCATTCATTAGCAGAAAGTAGAGATATTTCCTCGCAACTTTGCGAATGTCGATCCCGTCTCCTACTCCTTTAATCTGCTTATATGTTGAAAGCACAGCAACAACTGCTATGGTGTTCCTCAAGTAAAATGTAAATATGATCTGTAATGTCGTTCGTGTATATATATATATACATATATATATATATGCAGGAGATCGAGTTTATCGACTATGTTCTGTGTTATGTTTCTGAGTTCGTTGTATATAACTATTACATTACGATAACTTTGAAGTGTGTACATAAACAACTTATACCGGTGTCAAACCGGTAACAAGGAGTTTTTGAAGAAGTTAAACCCTTCTGACTTATAATAAGTTAATAAGTGTTTTTTGTAGAAAAACATTAAGTTGTTTCAAATAAGCAATCCCAAACACCCCCTTAGTGCAATTATAATGAAAGCATGTAAGAAAAAAAATACAAGAAACGAATCTATACTATCTTATTAAGCAAATTTAACGAAAGTCTTAAAATTCTAAATGACCAAAATACCCTTTATACTCACTTTTTCACCCCCTTCTCTTTTCACATACACTCACTCCCTCACATACACTACAACCGACTTTTTTTAAATTATAATTTTAAATTTACACTTTATACCCCTATAATTAATTAATTAATTTACTTTTAGATGTTTCATTTTAAACATTTATCAAATTAACATAYATAATCGTATATCAATTAAAACATGTTTAAAAAATACATTTTTATTTTAACAAGTTACACCATTATAATCGTCTCGTTAATACCTTCGAAATGAGTCYAATATTAAATAGTTTTTGACTTAATTATATTATTATATATTATAAAAATTGTGAAAAAATATTATTAATATTTACGATTTATATTTTTATATTTATTTATTTATATATACTATATATTTTGGGGTTAGACAGTTCAAATTGTATTGTATAATATGTTTTGAATTAATATGTTCTTGAGTTTTTTTTTTAATATATATATATATATATATATATATACATGTATATATATATATGTATTAATTCAACCTTAATCTGAGTTTCTGGACAAGAAAGAGGGTAAGCAGTTGGAAGTTCATTCTAAAACCCATCTTTTTTTGTTTTTTCATGGCTTATGATCTGTAAATCAAATACATTTGGTTTTGAGTGCTTATCTTAGAACTCAAGTTTCTAGGTTCTTTGTTTTTTGTGTAAATCGAATACATTTGTGGAGCCTTTTAAATATGTTGAATTTTAAATATATTGGATTTTAAACTGTCATACAATTTTTTTCATCGATAGTCTATAATTGGAACCATAACTCTAATTTATTCAAATTGTATTAATATGTAAAAACCAAGTGTAACCGATATCATCGTTAAATCTTATATTATAAACCAGTGGAACTTCAAAATCGTTAAAATTCATGGCTCCCGCTGCATTGCGCGGGTACACAACTAGTAATGTGAAATGACGATTTTACCCTTTACACAGTCGGTAATAAGCATGAAGACAACAAATATTTTCCAACTGCCAAACAACAGTAACAAGATTATAAATCAGCTCACGAATGTTGAAGAATGAAAATGGATGGATGGATGGTTTTCTTATGTTGTCTGATGATATTATGGGTTGTATGATTCAGCTATTTCATTCGTGTTTTTAGTCTTACAAAGATGGGTGACAAACTGCACTTCACATTTTGTAGATCTTTTTCTTCTGAACGGGGCGTGATTAGCGAAATTCATCGATCTCAAAGACTCGAGCAGTTCCATCAATGGAGACGGAAACTAGATGGCTCCCATCAGCCGATACGCCTAGAGACTGGATCGCATCCGTGTGTCCCCTGAAAGTCTTGATACAGTCTCCAGAAAGGCTATCCCATATCCTCACTTTGCCATCGACACACCCTGTAGCCACGAACCGAGACGCACCTAGCCATGACAGGCACGTCACACCTTCCTGATGAAAATATAACACAAATTTGAAATGTTAAGACATACATAATCTAACGTTATTTTACATAAAAACACTTGAACTCGTTTTTGTAGTTTTGTTGCACCATGTAGATAACCACAATAGAATGAAAATGTATGCTTAATGGGACGGCAAAATTATATATCAGAAGGAAAAGATGGCATATGTTGTAAGGAACCATGAAATACGATCAAATGTAGCAACAAGCGCACCTCGTGTTCACATGTGCAACGGGCCAAAGAGTGTTGGAGATCCCAAATAATTAGTTTCTGATCCATGCTTCCTGTTGCTGCCCAAGGAGAGCTACAACACAAATCAAAGCCATTCAGGCATCTAAATTGCTACAATTAGTGAAAAGGCTAGTCTTTATTCCCTCTCCCATATAATTTTCTTGCAAGGTGGAAGGGAGAAGGGGGACTACCTATTTAATGTATTCATGATGAATAACCCTATATATTCATGAATATTATTCAACATGAATATCATACATTTTAATTATTCATGATATCATGTATTTCATTATGAATAATATTCATAATGGATATCTATCATGACATTCATCATGAATAATTGGTTCCCATATATATATTTACGGTTCTCATTTGAACAGGGCTCTAAGAAACAATACCTAGCTGAGAGACCGATACATTCAATTGAATCTGTATGTGAAGGTAGAGAACTGACAACCTGTAACAGATATAAAATGTGAAAAAAGCTGACTGCAAGAAGTATGGAAAAGCCACTTAAAATCATGGATGAAAGTATTTGAACCTTCCCAGTTGCAATATTCACAATGTGGACAGAGCCATCTTTTGAGCCGGTAAGAACAAGAGTTGAGTCGGAGGTTATCGTCAAGCATGTCAGCCCTTCGGTGTGATAATAATGGCCTGAACGCAAGAATCATTTAGCAAATATTTAAATTATAATCCTCACTTGTTATTATTCTTCATACACAAATTATTACAAACAAAATGTTTACGTTATTTGTTTTCCAGAGCTATTATTGTTAAGATTTACTTTATTTTTTTTAAACGTATGCAAATGGTTGGTTATATTTTGCAATTGGTTCAATAATGACAATTAAACAAGTGAGGATGTAATTCTACACTTCAATGGTTTAAAAATGAAAGCTACCAAGAATAAGAGGAACACAAAAAATGGTAAAAGTTGATCCTGAATCTCACTCTTATCTCCATCACTCAGGCGATGTATTTCATAAGCTTGTGATATAAAGCAAAAGCAAATACATACCTTTCACGACGTGAATGTTCTCCCCAGTTCTTGGATTCCATATCCTCAAACTTGCATCATCAGAACCGGTACAAATTGTTTTGCCTAAATATGAAAAAGGAATTAAGAATAACTGAATAGAAAAAGAATAACGAAAACCCATAGAAACAAAAGTCTAGAAAGAACAAGACGGTACCATCAGGAGTAAAATCCCCACAAGTGACAGTACTAGCATGACCGGAGAATGTATTAAGATAGGCATTCTTGTCAGCATTCCACATCCAAACAGTGGAATCCTCCGAACCAGCTAGAACCAGGTGTCCTCGTGGATGCCACCTAATCCACTGAATAGTCAAGGTTACAGACCCATATAAGAAAATACTTCACGATATATTTTAACAAGATGGGAGAAAGGAGAAAGATGATTACTAAAAGATATTTACCTCAATGCCAGCTCCAGGTCCATCAAGTGTGCATTTCAGGTTTCCTGAAGATATGTCCCATACTTGAATGACCCCATCCAAGCTTCCAGATGCAACCAACTGTCCATCAGAGCTGAAGGCCACGGTAGATACAGAATCCTTATGACCTATATAGAAAAAGACATAAAGATCTCTAAATTAGGAATATACTTGAAAGAAGTAAAATGAAAATCTAGCGACTAGAGAGGAACATAACAAACAATAAACATGGTTAACCTGATGTGTTTGAACAATGATGAACACTTGGCAACCACTTTAAGTACATGCATACCTTGTAATTCAAAAGCCCAATCTCCTTGACCAATCTTCCATAGAAATCCTTTGTCATCCCCTGCCCCTGTGGCCACCAATTGAGCATCGGTTGGGCTGCATGCAACTGTGTATAATTCACCTATGACCAAGAAATGGAAAGATGAAGTCAGCTAAGCGAACCTCTCTGTATAATTATGCATATCAACCAAGTGACAGAAATAAAATTAGGATAACTAGATCCATGGAGGAAGAAATGCATGCATCAGCATGAGACTAGCACAAGCATCAAGGAGATGAAGGTCCTGTCTGTTGTTTTCCAGTATTTCTGAGTGCTGAATGTACTCATGAATAGTGAAGAAGGATTTCTGAAATACTGAATGAATAAACTTGTTCGATATTGATCTAAAAACCATTATAGGAAGGTATTAATAGTTTACTATCAACTTATAGAAGCTCACACTTCATATTTTTTTTTTTTTATTAACCTGGATATCACACTTCATACTTACAACCAATGTGGGAGGATGTCACAGACTCCCCACTAAAATTCATTAAGTCCTCGTCAGGAATCAACATAAACCCAAAAATAAACCCAAACAAGAATCATATTTCCCTGAAATTACACGAGTCCAACCCCAACCTGCTACTAATTCTTCTTCTGCTTCTGGTAAATCAAAAGGTAATCCAGAATAACATGATGACATGATGACCACAACAGTATCATTTACAACGCCCAAAAAACCCAGAATAACATGATGACTCAATAACTTTTAAATTAACCAAAACCTTTGTGGAAAGTCAATAATACATGTTTACCATGGGTGGGCTCACTCTTCAACTTACAATTGATGTAGGAGGGATATCATGATAAAAATGAGGGAATAGATTAGATTCTTGAAACTTCGACAGGGTGGCTGTGAGAGAACGTAAAGCAGGGGTGTTGGTTTTGGCTGCAGAACAAGAAATAGGCAATGCACCATCCTTGCAAACCAAATGAACCCAATATATCTTACTCGGAAGTAGGGTATGGGGGAACTGGGAAGTATTTATGCAGACCATTTCTCACCCCAAAGAGTAAAGAGACAGTTTCCATGAAGACCAAGGCTTGCGAGAAAGTTCTGGGAGATCTTGAGACTTGAAAGAAACATAAAATTTGTAAAAAATGGAAGTTCGGAAGAAATTAGAAATAAACTAAAGAGCCTGAGACAATGGGGGATATCATAAACCCCCTCACATAAGTTTCTAATATCCTAATCAAAAACCGAACAAAATCCTGAAATCAGTATCCCCAAAACATGCATGAGCACAACTAGCTCTATCTTGAGAAGTCACCGTTTTGTAACCATTAGTAGCACTTTACGCAAAAAGCAAAAATCAGTCGAATAACTTGCAAATCAACTAGATCCATGATGGGTAGATCTTAGTAGCCCACTACCAAACACTTAAAAGAGGCCTCAATTCATACTCAATGGGTGTTACAAACACTCACTTAAATCCCTAACATCCTTGTTGAGCCTAAACATAAACCTAAACATGATTCCCAAATCCTAACTCCGAGGAGATATCTGAGTCGAGCCCGTATCACTTCCTTATTCCATTGGCCTTTGGAATCTAAAGTTTACAGAAGCAACAACTGAAAGAACTTGTAAACATACTCTGATGTATCATATCAGACGAACATCATCATACGACAGAGATGAAGAAAAGAGAGGCTTTAGCGGGTAGTGACATCAATGGAGCATATGATGGAGGGAAGAGTAGGTTAATTTGTAATTGTGAGGTGCGGCTAAATAATTTTGTACAGCATTTATAATAAGAGATCACTTGGTGAACAAGCATTTATTGGGCTGTGAGGAACTAGAACGATATAAGCACTAAATCGGAGGAAAGAAAAGCCAAAAACATCATTTAATTCAAACAAAGCCTTTTATTCAATAAGATTAAGAATACGATAAGAGTCGTATTACCCGTATATATTCAAACAAAGAGATCCGAAATATTTTTCAAGCCTTCACAACATCACAAGGGTCCACAGAATAACAGAGTCTGAAAAGAGGACCATCAAGGCATCAACAGAGACAGGCAATGTCATAGGAGACAGTGGCAACTGCTGACCAGATGGAGAAAAAAGGTGGATTGGCCTTCAATTTCAGGTTTTACGGGTCAAGAAGCAATCCCTACCTCTCCAAAAAGTATTTCAAGTATTCAAAAAGGTACAAAAAGATTAATAACACAACTACCCCCCGAAATAAACCAAAACCATAGTGAGGAACCTTGACAACCCTAAAAGAAGAAGATAAAGACCATAGGAAACTTACCGGTATGACCAGTGAATATGTGAAGGGAATCATCTGCTTCATCTGAAATAGACAAAGGAAGAAATTAAAATAGATAAGGAGAAAATAAGAAGAAATTTGTAATCACATATATACTCATAACCGACCACTGCCGCTCAAACATAGGTATACTCAAATAGTCTATGCTACTTTCACATATGGTATACCATTTTTTATAATCAAAGCATATTATATATGGTACTGTATAACCTGTTTCGAGATTCTTTGACGAATGGATGCAGCAGATAATAAAATAAAAGTTAGTGATTGTCACACTGCTGCAAAATGTGTGGAAAAACAAGAATTTGAAAGCTTATAGAGCCTTGACGTACCAAACACTTCAGCATCAGAATCTGCATCATCTTCTGCATCAGGGAGATCTGAAACAAGGGAACCAAGTTTCATAATATGTCAACATAGAACATAAAGCATTTAAATCCAGGAGCAAAACTAAGACTACCTTCTTCGTCTACATTTATTTCTTCCACGATGTCGTCCTCATCAAGAAAAACATCACCATGATCTTCACCATCGTTTGCAGAAGTACTCATGATCCCTCCTTTATGATCAATCACACTTTTGAAATTTGTCAGAATACCCAACTAGGGTTTATCTAGGGTTTCTCCAAAAAAGCTGATGCCCTATCAAAATTAATAACATTGGGTCAATTCCTTCCAGATGCTTAAATGGAAATCAAAGTTCAAATCTACATGAATAATACATATATATACACAAACTGTAAGATCAAAATAAGCGCCTAATTCTCAGCTTATGATACTACAAGTTCACTCTTTTTACAGTGTAACATATCGACAACTGCTCCCTGAACTTTCTAAACTTGATCACACTAAATTTTTATAGCATATACCGAGAAGAAAACAACCTATTAAATAAATAACTTGTCAAGTAGAATGGATTCAACAATAAACAGAGAGCTCAGTAAGTTGAAGAAAGGTCGAAGAAACGGAAAAAGGTCATGAAGGCGGCGATTAGAATCGGTACTAGGAATACTAACCGGTGAATAGGTGAAAATTTAGTTATTAAGCTTCACCGGTCCGCTGCCGCCGTCGCCGTCGCCGCCGCCGATGAAAGAATAAAAGAGAGCTTGGTCGAGTATACGTCTTTTGTCCACAATTTGATGGAAGTCGATTTTCTTTGATATTACCTTTTCGTCCTTGTTGTTTGGAGAAATACAATAAAGCCCCTGTTCTTTTATTGATATGGCATAAATAAAGAAACTGAAAAAAACTTTTTTCTCTCGACTTTTATTCAACTAAAGGGCCGTTTATTAAACACTTATCAGTTCGGACAAGAAAATTGAATATCACCCGGTAAGATCCAAGACAATAATCGAGAGTCTTACACGCTAAGTGAGACTGATGACTTTTTACCCAGTAAGCGCTTATGGATGCTAACTAAATAATCCATTTTGACAGGCAAGAATGCTACTCGATAAGATATGTGAGAACGATGATTTTTTCCAGTAATCAATTATCCAGTAGAAGTTTGGAAAACGGTCTCTAGTTTATATGGTTCATGTAAAAGAATATTTCCACACGAGTCCCAAAAATTTCAATTATTTGACATAACTTCTAAAGTGTTAATGTTCATAAGATTCGAACTTCAAGCACGGTATACTTAATATTAGTGGTGTACATGCGCGATACAGCACGCGTGAATCACAATTCTGAAACGTTAGTTTAGTTTTGAATCATGAGTTTGTATGGTTATTTTACAGGTCAACAAATATATAAAGTTAAAGACTAATATGTTGTATTAGTAAGATCGATTGGAAAAATAATTGCATACATGTTGAGTTTCTAAACCCATATAAAGTTGAAGGGTTAGGGGTGGGTACATGCAGGATCTGAAACCCTTTCTATTGTTTCAAATTTCAATTTACTTAAAGAGAAAGAAGAACTTTGAGTTTGAATTTGAGTTCAAAATAGGAAACAAACAAAGTGTCAAACAATTTTGGAAAGACCAAACACACCTTTTTCATGTAAATATGGTTTATTTAAATCTGAAACTTTGACCAAACAAATTGTATGTTTTAAGCATTTGTACATTATGCATAATAATTTATACTTAAGAGATTTTTGAATCTCTTACATAAATTGATAGTACTTTATGCTTTGACACTTGTAATTAAGACTTTTGGTGTAAATGCTTATTAATGTAGTATAGATACCAACTTTAATTTAAGAGTAAAGTTTAATTTTTGTCCTTAATATTTGTAATTTTCAATGGATATCGTCCATAAACTTCAAAAACTCGGATTTGGTTCTTTATATTTATCAATTCTCGACGGTTTTAATCCTTCTGTCTAACGGTTGTTAATTTTTTCCCGTTAAATTTTAGTCATTTTCATTATTTTTAAAATTTTATATTAAAATTAAATCCATGTTTTACACATGATAGTTTGTTTGTGACAACATTTACCTTCAGTGGCAGATCCATAATCTTTTTTTGTTTGGGGCATACTTTAGGGTGTCAAAAAACTTCTGAAACTGAATAATCCGTCATAACTAAAACGGTTCCGATTTATTCGCTTTCGTCTTAAACGGTTCGGTTAACCAAATAAATATAATTTAGTCGGTTCGGTTTTTGGTTGACTTTTTACTATTATGGTTAAACCGAGACATTATACTACTACTACTACTTATATTTTTCATTTTTTTCTATTTCATTTAAACTTAAAAACAAACGAACACATTACACATTAATACAAAATTCAACTGCCTCTTAATAATGAGGCAGATGGCTAGAGGAACAAACCATTAAACAATTTTATGCATCTGGCATTAACAAAATTGTAACGAGCCTAGTGAAAAATTAACTAGATTCTAAATAAAATTGAACATTACAGTATCTAGATTCTAACAAAATTGCACATTGCAGTCTCCAGATATGAAACAATATTGCAATTTGCAAAACCAACATGATATTACCATTTACCAACTAATACAATTTACCAGATTCATCCAAAAATCACAAGTTAAGAAGCCAACAAAATCAGATTTATTCATAAATTATAAATTAGAATTAGAAATGAAAAATAAGAATTGTTTTAGTATTTACCCAAAGCCAAGAACCGAGATGGAGAAGTAAGAGACTGATTTCAAAATGTGTGGTCGTTTGTTTCACTGCTGAAGGTCAATTGAGAGTCGAAGTCTAAAAGAGGACGTCACTCGATTGAGATTTGAGAGCGAGAGACAATGAGGTTGGACCAAATAAAAAATGTGTTTGGGTTCCAGTGAGAAAGAAAGTTATGGTAAGAAGCGTAGTAAGAGATTTCCACATTTGAATCAATCATAATTGAATGTCAACACCAATGAGGTGTAGTGAATCAATTATCTTCTAAAGTGCAATGAATGAGTGAGCGTAAGATTAAAAGTTATCAAGGGTTCAAAACAGAGAACAAAATCTCTATTTTCTCTATTTTAGAGAATGTATCCATGTTTTTGAGGACTCTTCCAACAATTTTTTTAAAAAAAAGATGATAAGTTTTGTATTATGTAAAAGTATAGGGGGTGCAAGTGAAACTTAGCCCTCTCCTTCCTATTAAGCATCTCGAGGACTCCTGTCTGGCTGCTTGCTGCTAAAATGCTCTACCTTCGTAGCCATGTCGGGCGATGTCTGTTCTCAATCTATCGCTTCAAATCTCACCTTTTTTATTCAGCAGCAGCAGCAAAAGCTTCATCTCTTGATCAATCTGCATCTTCTATAAGGACCGAATTCGTAGATTATCTCATCACCACACTCGGATTCTCCAAAGAATCAGCCATTTCTTCCTCTTCAAAGGTACGCCGTTTGACTACCACTCGAAACTGTGATTCAGTCGTCCGTATCCTCAAAAATTGTGGTTTTGATGATGACCAGATCAAGGACTTAGTCTCGTGGATTCCTAAAGTTTTATTATACAGAGCAAACGAAACCCTAGAACCCAAGATTAGGGTTTTTCTCGAACTCGGTTTGTCTGTTCCGGATCTAATAAGTCTTCTCAAGAGAAACCCTAATTTATTTGAATTAGGTCTACATTCCCGAATCGTACCAACTATCGATTACCTTAAGACGCTATTAGGAAGCAATGAAAGAGTAGTTGAAACCATCAACAGATCGAGATGGTTGTTCTCCACATCTGTTGCGTTAAAGATGTTCTCTGCAAATGTTATGTTATTGCAGAGCTATGGTTTCTCAAATGAGAAAATTGGGAAATTTGTTCATAAGAATGCAAGGCATTTTACTCAAGCACCTGAATGGCTCACAAGTAAACTGAATTGGATTGAGGGAAAACAAGGGATATCACGCGATTCTAACGAATTCTTTCGCTGTTTTCACGCGATTGCTTCAAGTAGTATTTCAGCAATGGACAAGAAGATGGAAATCTACAAGAGTTTTGGGTTCTCTGAAAATGAATTAACCTTGTTGTTTAAGAACCAGCCTTACTGTTTTGCATTATCAGAGGATACAATTCGCGATAAATTGAGTTTCTTTATGAACGAATTAGGGTATACATCTTCGTATCTAGTCACTTGCCCCAGTCTTTTCTCATTGAGTTTGGAGAAAAGAGTGAAACCTAGGAATGAAGTATTGAAGATTTTGAAAGAGAGGATGTTGGCCGAGAGCAAGTCTTTGATTACGCTTGTTAATTATCCGGAGTTGAGATTTCTAGGTTTTCTGCGGAGTTTTGAGGACGAGATTCCTAGCTTATATGAAACTTACGTCAATAGCATAAGGTGAATCCAACTTGTTTCGTTTCGCGATTCAGTCTTAGTAAGCGTTTGGTCATAGGAATTCTAACGGTTGAGTTACTTTGTAGCATTATCGTGCTTCTAAAGAAGTATCGAATAGTCACATTCTTTATATACATGGCCCTTTTGCTTTTTATTAGTTTTCAATCTATGTAATTGTTAACCACAAGGGTGGTGTCTGATTTGTTTGAGCTTGGCTCTAAAGGTCAAAAGTACCAGGAGGTCCCAGGTTCAAATCCAAAGAGGAATAAAAATCCCCTTGTGGCCACGGAGGTTCAAATGCGGTGACTCCGGGCTATCTGTAAAGTAGGTGGTCGTCCTGGGATTAGTCGATGCGCATAACGGGTTGGATATCCAGGTTAATAAAAAAAATCTATGTAATTGTTGATGAATGAGTAAAAATTGATCTGTTTTGATTTCTCAAAGATACATATGGTTTGGTAATGTTCAGGGTTATTGTCATAGTCTGCAAGTTAGACAACACATCTTGAAATAACTAGTTTGTTTGCATATGTGAAATCCTATTTACATTATTTTTAAGAGTGTGTTTGGTATCCAAACAGTACCGTTGTTCATCATTTGGTAAGATAGGATTGGACATGACAGTACGGATAAAATGACCAATTTATTTTTATATGTTTTTTTCTATATTTTGATAAAATTTATGTTATTTATTAAATTATAATAAAATAGATATTTATTATAGCAAAATATATCATTTGAAATTTTTTGTGAAGATGATTAAAATGATGTTAAAATATGAAGTTTATTTAATTTCCAGATTTAATTCTATACCTATTATATATTATGTTTTTATTAATATTACTTAATAAATTGAAATTAACCAAAATTTAAAAATGTATAAAATTAATATTTTAAAAACAGTAAAGGGAAAGTTTAAATAGAATAAAATACAATAAATAAAATTTAAAAAATGGATAAAAGGTAAAGGAGACGAATTTGATGTTTTAGAATCGAATAAAATTTTATTTTGAGGGTATATTGATAAACCTGGATTGAGTCCATGGAGACATGTTGATACTAATTTTCTACCAACTAACTGTACTTGATACTAACTTTTTTTTCGATCGAGACATGTTGATATTAATTTTCTACCAACTTCAAGTTACATATATGAAAACTTGTTATTATATCCAAAATTTTAGTTTTCGAATAACACATGTGATGTTTTAACGGTTTTTAATTGCAATAAATAAAAACTTGCAAGGAGAGCAATAGTTAAAGTTTCAAAGTTTAATATTTAATACATAAAATATTTAAAAAGTAATAAATAATTGAATAAGTACATACTAGTTGTGTACCCGTACAGTGCGGCGAGAGCCGTAAATTTTAACGATTTTGAAGTTTCACTGGTTTTATTAGAGAAGATTTAACGATGATATAAGTTACACTTGGTCTTTACATATTAATACAATTTGAATAAATAAGAGTTATGGTTCCAATTACAGTCTATCGATGAAAAAATTGTATGACAGTTTAAAATCCAATACATTTAAACTCCAACGTATTTAAACGACTCTACAAATGTGTTCGATTTACACCAAAAACAAAGAATCAAGAGATCAAGAGTGAGACCGAAAGTTATAGAGCAATTGAATGGAAGAACTTTAAATAACTAATGGTGAATATTAGTTTGAATCTCACATGGGGGATAGGGACAAGACATGGAGGTATGAGAGAGGAAAATATGAATGAAATGTGTCAAAAATATCCTGGGAACATGAAAAGAAAAGGTAATAATGTGCATTGTTAACTTGTACTGTATGTTATTTTATTTGTAGATTAAGAGATTTTAAGATTGAATGCATAAAATAGTAGTACTTAATGCATTATGAGTTGTTTTTAAAATTTTCAAGATTTTATGCATAAATGTATAGTACTTTGTATATTAAAATTGTTTTTAAAACTTTTGATAGATCTGGTTTATAAAGCAGTATAAATATAGATCATAGATTCCACAGACCAACCAAATTTACCAATGTACCATCAAGTTTTGTAGATAAAAAGACTAGAAGGGTACTCAAGCAATGTAGCGAGATACATCTCGATTTTAATATTATATTTTATTCTTTGTCTTTGTCAATGTTATAATACGATTTTATGTGTTTTTAAGAAAGCAATAATGATTTTATTTTGTAATAAAATATAAATTTGAAAATATCATAAAAATTTGAAAAAAAAATGTCAATGTTAATATCAAATCACATATTTAAAAGTTCTCATTTTTTATGTAATTTCTTTAATTTATTATTTTATTTTAACTTAATTTAAGTTTTATAATGAAATAATTTCTTTTTGGTTTAATAATATAACATTTTATAAAGATAATATTATGGATTCTGTTAGAATTTAATGATTATTCAAATTATATTTTAGATTTTTTATATTTAAAATGAGATGTTTATTCTATATTTGATTATGTTTATCTGCAGTTAGTTACACGAATTCATATATGAAGCTTTAATAAGTTGTACTTATGCATAATCTACTTGTAATCTTGAGTTTTAAGTAACATGCATTAATAAACAGTATTTTATGCACAAAAAATGATTTTTAAATTTTTTTGTCAAATGCTTTATGATATAGTATAAATATAGATAACAAATTAAATCAATGACTCTAATTTGGGCCACAAGAACAGACCCCAAGATTTTTGGGTCACTAAAGTCGCGTGATCCAAACAAATTTGGGATTGGGGTCTAACTGATTCTCATCTCAGGGCATCGTTTTTCAGACGTTCACCATCTTTTGTGATCTTTTTCCCAACTGCAAAATCAAAAACATAATCATCTCCATCAATGTTAGAAGGTTATTCGCGCAATGCAACGAGATAATCTATATTTCAATGTTTCCTTTTATTCTGTCTCCATCAATGTTATAATATGATATTCTGTGATACTGAAAAAAATATATCGATTTTAATATCAAATTATATATTTAAAAGTTCTTTCTTTGTATAAAACCATTGGTTTCAAGGCCATGGTATTCTTTCCATGTATCTAAGGCATTTTTTGACAAATATAAGTTAGCTTATTTTTTGGACACATGTTTTGATGAACATAAGTTGAATAAGCACCGATTGAGGTAAGAGGTATGATCCGGATAAGAGGTCTGATTGGGATAAGTGTTATTAGAAATTGTTGTTTACCAAATTTTTATGTATTAATCACTGATTGAATAAAAATGACGATCACACCCTTAATGAATAACATATATCTTGTGCTAAAAAAATCATTTCGTAATGCATTTTTAAACCTTATTTGAATATTACCTTTAGCAACTTACGTAGACGAAAGGAAGTTGATTTTCTGGTTGACAAAAAATCGAAAACTACCCACCAGAGTCGACCGATGTAGACGAAATCACAGTTCACATAAATCGATCGATCTAGGGGTTTAGAGAGAAAACAACATTGATCGATTACCTGATTGCATGTGTCTGATGAGAAGCAATAGAAATCGACCGCACACTTGAGAAATCGATCTATGTGTGTCTGATTGTGGAGGGAGGCGTGTCTTTAGTAGAAATCGATTAGCACACTTGAGAAAATGATGGTTTCCAGATTTAGGAGAAATCAACTGGCACACTTGAGACGATCTTTGATTTTCAGAACGGCATGAAAGAGGCAATGGATGAGAGGTGTGGAAGAGAGTCGCACATAACAACGGTGAGGGGTATAATGGTACATTAGGTCTTTTCACATGATCACTCTATTGACTTGAGTACCTGCTTACAAACAAGATTATTTGCTCCATATAACTCACCCGTTTTTCTTTCTATAGAATATAGGTTAAAAGAAAAACACATACGAGACATATATCAGATGTTTGATGGATACAAAGACTCAGTTTCGCCATGTTGTGATCCCTATGAATAATATTAAAATAAAACTACCATCACTCACATGATCAAAAAGTCGATTTAATCAATGTAACTACCATTGCTTATTGTCGATGAACCACTTCCATTACATTCATATATCAAAAGGTTTATAGTAATAAATAATCAAATAAACGCCAGCAATCAAACCCCAAAAACGAAGTTTCAAAGTCATAATGATGATGATTTTGAGATTCGATGCAGAAGCATGCAATGGATGAAGTCACAGAGTCTTTAAATGCATTATCAATCGTATCTGGTCATATCTCAAAGTTGTAGTATACTGTCGGAAACATTGCATTCTTCCATCCTTGCACCCAATGACAAACAATCCACGGAAAGCAATCTGATAGCCAAATGCTTATCACACTTCATCCAAATAAAAAGACAACATATTTTCACTTGATGGTGTGTACGAGGTTCTAGAAAAACTTACATCTCTAAATCCCTTCGAAATATATTACTGGCAACTAAGAAGTATGGAACTGGAATTACAAAAAAATGCTTTGTTACGTGAATCAGTCAGCATTAATTCCTGATGAATAGATGCAACAAAACATAGATGGCGGATTAGGAGTGAGTGAACGATGATTATCTATTATATTGATTCTTAATCCAATCATGAYGTTAATGTGATCCCAATCACTCTCTTTATCAAGAAACATTTAAAGATTTCCTCTATTGCAATATCCTCCAACAAATAAAGCAAAGAAAACCCATCAAACCCACACAAACTATTACATACATACTATAGATTTTACCTGGAGAAGAGGGGAGTGACCAAGAAAAAGATATCCAAAAACAAGGCTAATGTCCCTCTGTTTTCGATCTTTTTTGCTTCCTATTGTCTACCTAACCCTATTTCTTTATGTCGAGAGATGAGATTGAGAAAGCATTTGAATGTGGGGATATATTTCAGGGTGCTGCTTGAGTTCGTTGATCAAGAGAGTTAGAGAATGGATTTCAGGGGGGAGAGGGGGCGCACGAAGCGAATGTAGGTTAGGATTAGAATGGATTTCAGGGGGGAGAGGGGGCGCACGAAGCGAATGTAGGTTAGGATTAGAATGGATTTCAGGGGGGAGAGGGGGCGCACGAAGAGGATGTAGGTTAGGAACTTAGGATTAGAATGGATTTCAATTTGTCCGTTAGGGAGAAGATAGATGGTTTAATAATATAATTATTTTATAAAGATAATAATTAAGTATTTTGTTAAAACTCAATGATTTTCTTAATTATATTTTAGATTTTTTATATTTAAAATGAGATGTTTATCATGTATTTGATTATGTTTATCTGCAGTTAGTTACACGAATTCATATWTGAAGCTTTAATAAGTTGTACTTACACACAATTTACTTGTAATATTGAGTTTTAAGTAATATGCATTAATAAACAATACGTTACACCTAAAAAATAATTTTTAAGAATTTTTGTCAAATGCTATAGTATACTACAGATTTAAATTCGATTGTCCAAACAGAAAGATTGATTCTGAAATTGGCAGTTTGGCACAACACAATCCGCCATTTCCCCAATTTTCTCAAAGTTGGGCTTGTTAGGATGTTCAAAATCCTTCATACAATCCCTTTCTCCTGCCTCCGATCTCCTTTCCGGTACTCGACTACCTCCTTTTCATCATCATCATCACCAAAAATCACAGCAACTCCATCAACACGTTTCATCGTGGACTACCTCATCGATTCTCTTGGATTCCATGAAGATGAAGCCGTTGCTGTTTCTTCCAAGGTACCTCATCTGAAATCCACTGCTAATTCTGATTTAGTTGTTAATCTCTTCAAAGATTATGGTTTAGACGATGTCCAGATCCGAAACATCGTCTCTGCCGCGCCCAGAACCCTAACACTTAGACCAAGCAAAACCCTAGAACCCAAATTAAGGGTTTTCAGGGAACTAGGATTACCCGGGGCGGATCTAGTGAAGCTGGTTAAGAGAAATACGTATATTTTTAGAAAGGGTTTACATACTCAGCTCATTCCTACTGTTGATTATCTTAGAAAATTATTGGGTTGTGATGAAAAAGTGGTTCAAATGATTAATAGATCAAGATGGGTGCTTTTACCAAGTAAGACTCTTAGCAGAATATCCGCAAATATATCTTTGCTGCAGAAATATGGTTTATGTGAGGAGAAAATCCTCAAGTTCTTGGTCACTAATCCTCAGTATATGAAGCAGGCACCTGACTTTTTCGAAAGTAAGCTGCAATATGTTGAAGGAAAATTGGGTATTTCTCGTGATTCATCAAACTTCATTCATGGATTGGCTGCTGCTTTATATCGTAGTGAATCAGATATAGAGAATAACGTACAAATCTTTCGTAGCTTTGGTTGGTCCAATTTAGAAATAGCTACCTTGTTCAAGGCTCAACCTTACTGTTTGAGCAAGTCAGAAGCTTACATTAGTGATAAGTTGAACTTTTTCATGAAGGAACTCAAGTATACCCCTTGTTACTTGATGGGTCGCACTTCTTTCTGGACATTGAGTTTAGAGAAACGGATTAAACCGAGGAATGAAGTCCTCAAAATCTTGAAAGAGAAGGAGAAGGTGAAAGACACACCGTCTCTTGGCACGATTGTAAATTATTCCGAGTTGACGTTTCTTAGTTTCCTGCAGAGGTTTGAGAGTCACATACCTAGTTTATGTGAAACATACAAGAATAGCTTAAGGGATTCTAAAACTAAATGATTTAGTTGTTACAAGCTCTCGTGAATCCCTTTGAGTTTCTTGACTTTTCTCCTCCCCTCCAGCAGAACAAACTTTTCATCCAAAAACTAATAAACAGCTGCCAGATTGAGGTTTGGAGCAGCCTTCAAGTGGCTGGAGTTGGGCTTTGAGTGCTGATCTAAAACGGAGGAATTCCGAACGCAAAGTTGGATCTGCAACATCAAAATACTTGGTTTCACATAAGGTTAGTTTCTTGTTTAGAAAAAAAACCGATAGATCAAAGAAGGCATTATGTTAGTTTCTTGGTTAGTTGGTAAGTTATCTTTTGTTGTCGCATCTGCTCCACATATATCTTTGGTTTGTTTCTACTTTTTTAACAAATGATATGAATATGCTATAAAATGATTTTGTTAAACCTTGTTTGAGGATTAGCTTCAGGAGTCACCACTTAAGCACATCATTACCAAACTACTATACAAGCAAAAAATATTCAAATTATTTCAAATGGTTTCTCAACAATATGGCTGCTACCTGTATTTACATGAAGTTTTATGAATTAGAAGCCATTGAACAATTGTTTATATTACCCCTAGTGAAGTGCACATTGTGTATGGATTTCTTGCTCAGTAACATCATTTTCAACATTGTTAAATACCACATCGAAATTAGTGTTTTTTTATTGGGGGTGGTTTTGACTGATTTCCCATGGCATCGAAAACCTAGGACCGACCTTGGTCCAGTTTCTCATACAAAATAAGGGGTTGTTTACTTGTGGCTTAATGGCTCAACCAACTTATTAGCACAACCATAATGAGGCGTTTTCTTAGGGCGTAATTGAAAATATACTGGCTTATTCGCACAACAGAGTAGGCCTCTTGTCCCCATTCAGCCATAAAATTTACCTTCCCTACCCATGGAATAAAAATATGCCTATGTTGAAAAAAAAAAGCCTTGAACATTTCTTTCTCCCCAACGAGCTCTGCATCATCCCAGAGATTGAAACCTTCATCTCCTTTCATCTCCTTTGCGAAATTGTTGAGACTCTCCTCATCTCTCTCGACTTCGACGCATCACCAAGAACAAGAACCCAGAATCGAAACCCTATTCTCCAAGACTGATTACATGGTTGAACTCCCTAGCATCACCAAATTCGATTTGAAGTTTCTTCAAATTTGGGATTCATTTTCATCTGTCTTTTATGGGTTTTCCTCGTGTAGTTTGTTGATATTTTCCATTACCTATTTGACTCTCCGGCATCACCAAAATCGAATTGAAGTTTCTTCAGACTAGGGTTCTTAATGGTTTTTCCATATGTGGGTTTGTTGGTTTTTCTTCAATTGGTGTATCCTTTAGAATCTGGATCACCTACTATCGATTTTTCTTCAATTTTTGATAACATTTGTTAATTTGATGATTTTTGATACTAATGGGTAAAAATGTCATTTTTGATAACATCACATTTTTATCTAGACATACAAATTTATCCGATAAGACAGCTATACTCATGCAAGGCTTAATAGAAAATTAGTAAACAATCTATAAGATATACACATGTATGCAACTCAATGCAAACAGGAGCAAAAACATGTCTGAAGTGTAGTAATTGCACCAATTCTCGAGTTTTATCGAACACCAAAATTGAGAATTTGTATAATATGAGATGCAAAATCCCAAATTCTTGAACAAGGGTTTTACAAACAAACAAAGAAAGAATGTACACAAATCTTTGTTGTATAAAGCAAACCAAACTAAAAGAGCTCGCTATATCAGAGGTAGGGTTTCTGAAAGATGAAATTTATGCAGACTTGGTTTCTAATTCGAAGAACAGTTGTTTTTATGAAGACAACGTGTGTCAAAAGAAAGTTTGCTTGAAAAAAATCAGATAGAAGGAAAAAATGGAGCATTGGGAGAAAAAAAAAAGATTGAGACTAGATACATGCTATGATGCTAATGGGTTGTTTACCAACATTTTAAATGAGCTTGGTAGTTTGAACGACTTATTCATTTAGCCATATAAGAGCATTTCTTTACGTCTGAATTGTTAAGTCACTAAGTCAAAATCCCTCTATTCTTCGATTTGAACCCAAATCTGCTGCAAAATGGAAGAGGATGAATAGGCTGCTTCACGGTCTTTAGAGCTTTCCAAACATGCAATTACTGAATGGTAAACAATGCTCATCGAAGCATAACTGTCTTGTAGCTTTCATGAGTTTGTTTTTGGGGATTCATTTTAAAACGTCTGCTTCTTGGATTTGGGTTGGATTCTGATTGGGTTGGCTCTAAAAGGAAGGGAGGGGAGGCAGACTTGAAAGGTAGCAAGCTCAGGTGTTCTTGGATGCTGGTTAGATATTGTTGGATTTTGTAAATAATCCTCATTCATTTCTAGTTCCATGATCTCGATTCACCAAGTAAATGTTGATTTGATTTTGGATTTAGGGTTTAAGTTTGAGTTTGATTGAAGTGGTGGTGTTGATTTTGCAAGAGGTAGGGGTTTCAACAGTGATGTAAATCATTGGAAAGATTTTGCCGGTTTGGAAGGTTTCACATGGGGACGTGGTGTGAGGATGAAAAAAAAAAGTAAAATGACCCCTATACCCTCTTGTGCAACAGTGCAAGTCACGTGATGGGGTTTAGGGTAAATTGCATGAAAAAATAACATACTTTAACTTGATTCCTTTTTTTAGATAACGTACTTTCAAAACTTTCATTTTGATACCTAAGATGTAAAGTTTTAAACATATAAGTATCCGAGTAACTGGTTAATGCTTCAACAAGTTACCTAAAATATGAATCAAGTTAAAATACGTTACTTTTTCATGCAATTTACTTGGGGATTTAATAGCAGAAAGTCTAACCAGGTTAGAGTTAGGGACCAAAACCAAACATTGTTATATACCACAAGAGTTTTTTTGTAATAAAGTTTTTATAGGGATCCAACCCCAAAAACAACAAACTGCGAGGACCAAAATTGCAATTTTCTCTACTATTAAAATCAAGTTTATAGTTTAATTTTGTTCAATAAGAATTTAGTAAAAAGTCTGAAATTAAGACAAACTTTTGATGAGTGTAAGAAAACCATCTCTTTTGAAAGTCACTATTTACCGAACACTTCTCTATAAAGTTTAACATTATCATTTACTTATCGGATAAGATTTTATTCCACCAAAACGAGTATCATGTAACAATTTACTCGGTAAACATTTATTGTAGTAAGAATCGTCTTTCTCAATTATCAGGTAAAATTTTTGATACTTATTTCGTTCTTACCCGGTAATATCGTTGGTCTATTTATCATATTTATTCGGTCAACTGATTAGTAAACCCTAAGTCGGTTGATAAACGTGGTAATGTAAAAACCCACACCCATTTGCTTACGAGCTTTTGGGCTTCAAAGGAAATGGAGTGGATATGATCCCTTCTTCCGATTCCATAGCATGTTTCAGTTCTCCGGATTCTTCCGATCTCATGGTTTTCGCTACTCCACAATATCCTCCGTTGATGGAACTATTGCCAATCGGAAACCCCATTTGCTGGTGGATTATCTTATCGATTCCCTCCGATTCTCCAAAGACGCCATCTCCATCTCCTCCAAATCTAAGGTAATCTATCTCAAATCCACCATTAATTCTGACTTAGTCCTTAATATCTTCAAAAATTATGGACTAGACCTATCCCAGATCCGACAAATTGTCTCTTCCATACCCGAAATCCTAACTTGCAAAGCAAACGAAACCCTAGAACCCAAAATTAGGGTTTTTCAGGAACTTGGGTTATCCGGGTCGGATCTTGCTACTATCGTTAGGAAGAATCCGCATCTTTTTAGATATGGTTTACATACCAGGATCATGCCCGGTCTTAAACTTCTTAGAGAAGTATTGGGCAGTGATGAAAATGTGATTGAAGTTTTGAACAAATCCAGATGGATGCCTTTCACAAATAATTCTATGAAAAGAATATCAACGAATGTGTCGTTGTTGCAGACTTTTGGTTTATTAGATGAAAGAATTACCAAGTTTGTTGCAAGTAACCCAAATAAGGTTATGGTAAACCCAGTGGTGCTGGGAAGTAGGCTAAATTATGTACAAGACAAATTGGGGATTTCTCGTGAATCGCCTGCCTTCATTCATGCTTTGAGTGCAGTTTTATATTACAGCGATTCTGAAGTAGAGAAGAAGATGCAAATCTTTAGGAGTTTTGGTTGGTCTGATTCGGATATAGCTTTGTTGTTTAGGCATCAACCTTCCTGTTTGAACAAGTCGGAAGCTAACATCCATAACAAGTTGAAATTTTACATGAAGGATCTTGGGTATACTTCTTCCTACTTGGCGATTTGCACCTCTTTCTTCACACTCAGTTTGGATAAAAGAGTTATACCCAGGAACATGATGCTTAAAATCTTGAAAGAGAAGAGGCTAGTGAATAATGATAAGCCATCTCTTATTACAATTGCATGCTTTACCGAGTTTAAGTTTCTTGAATTCTTGCGGGGTTTTGAGGATCAGATACCATCTTTTCGTGAAATCTACTTGGATAATGTCAGGAGAGTTTCTTGATTTGAATCTAAACCCCATCTTCCTTTCGGGTTTCTAAGTTCTTGAAAGGTAATGTGGCCTTTTTCTTTCCAAAGAACATGTTGAGAGTTTACTTGTGCTGACCTTTCTACATTCTTATAGTTAACTGCTAGATTCTTGTTGACGGTTTACGTCTTTCTAAGTTTGTCTCTACGATCAATTGAGTTATAGGAAAGGTAGGCGTTCTTGTAGGATAGGAGGAGATGGAATGAGAATGTGAGAAATTGTTGTAGAAGATGACATGAAACAGATATATGGTTTTAAAGTAGTGATATGATCCAACTTTCTTCTCTTGCAAACATGTTTCTTTGGTGAAAGTATGATTGCATGTAACTTGCATCAGATTGAACAAATGGCCATCATATTGCTTCCAGAAATTGGGTCTTTAAGGTAGCTTTTGTACGTAAACAAGATTGAACGGGACAGAACAATTCCAGTTATCATCTTTTAACTAAAATAGTACCCGGAAAAAAATATGGGTATGCTTGTAAGAAGAACAGCCATTTTGAGTATTTCTAACACATTAAATGAAGAGTTAGGGGGTGTTTGACAGTTGTTGAATGGTTTGGTGCAGAATGATTAAGAGGCTTTCATGATATAGTGCAAAATGAAATGTAATTGTTTGGTAATTGTTTACAACGAAATTAGGACGCTAAATGGTTAAGGGAGGTCCATGATATAAAATCATTTAGAGGTTTTTAGAACCATTAAAAGACAGATCTTTTTTTTACCAAACAAGATTCACCTCTTACCAATTCAGAGAATTATTAAGAGATAAACAAACCTTAAGTTTTTTATCCCTGTGGTTTATTAAAAATTGTGATTTTCGTCCTTGTGGTTTAGAAGTTGCAGTTTTTGTCCCTATAGTTTGTAATTCATTGTTATTTTTGTCCTTATAATTTACAATTTAGTGTTGTTTCGGTCCTTGTGTTTAGAATTCTTTATTGTTTTGGTCCCTTGTACTTAAAGGCAAGAATTAGTCCATGGATGAAATTAACAATAAGTTACAAATTATAGGGACAAAGATCGTAATTTACTCGTAAATGAAAGATGCTCACAAATTCTTTGATCCCAATGTGTCATCCAAGATGATTTACTCTAGCATTTATATTTCAACAATAGTATATTTTTTAATGGTACATTTGGTACTAGACATAACAGAACGTGATAAGGCTGATCAGTGTTTGGTAAGATAAGGCTGGTAAAATTTTCCTAAGTTTTGGATGGTTTGTTTGTGCTCGAATTGGTGTGATTCGGTTTCTGCTCGATTTCGACTGATTCATGGGTCTTGGGTGAATCTTTTGGTACTTGGGCATCTGGTTCCTGTAATATTGTTGGGTTGTTTTTTTATTTACCTGGATATCCAACCCGTTATACGAGCCGACTAATCTTAAGGCGACCACATGCTTTGCAGATAACCCAGAGTCACCGCATTTGAACCTCCGTGGCCATAAGGGGATTTTTATTTCTCCTTGGATTTGAACTTAAGACCTCTTGGTACTTTTGACCTTTGGAGCCAAACTCAAACCAATTAGGCACCATCCTTGTGGTTAATTGTTGGGTTGTTTTAGCTTCTGCAGTTTTTGGTGGCTTTGCGGGGATTCCTTTGGTTCTCCTTTGTTTTCAATTTATTCGTAATGAGTTGTTTAATATTTAATTTATCAAATAATCGATCTATGAAAATTAATAAATAATATTTAAAAATACAAAAGCATCTTGACATAAATACTGATTGAAAAGCTTATATTCATAAAAAAAAAGCCTAAACATTTCTTATTTTATATTTTGATTAATTATAAATTTCATTAAATATTTTCTCATTACAAAACATATTATAGCAAGTTTTTGTCAAGACGATTAAAATAACACAAAAATATTAAGTTAACGTATGGAAATTTTTATTTTGTACATTTTTTATTTGGATAAAAAAAGTTGATAACTGGCAACCTCAATCGGTCTCACATGGAACCTGCCTTCAAGGACGATAACTTTTGAGGTCATTTTTTCTGGCTCACTTGGCGACTGAGGCTAGCAGCGGACTGGAATAAAACCTAGGACATATCTTGTATTTGGGTGTCTCATTTTTTTTGTCAACTGAACATACCAAATATATTTTATACATTTTCTATAAAAGTAAATTATGATTTTCGACTATGTGGTTTGTTAATAATTCTGATTTTCATCCTTGTGGTTTAAAAATTGCAATTTTTGTTCTTATGGTTTGCAATTTTTTGCTTTTACGTCTTCAGACTAATTCCCACATTTAAATACAAAAGACCAAAACAATAAAAAATTATAAACTACAAAGATCGAAACAACAATAAATTATAAATCATAAAGATAAAAATAACAATGAAATACAAACCTTGGAGACGAAAAACACAATTATTAAACCACAAGAATGAAAAGTGCAATTTTTAAGAAACTACATGGACAAAAAATGCAATTTACTCTGTTCTTATATTATGCATCTATTATTAATATTTGATAACTTAAATAAATTAACCAAAATATAGAAAATGTACAAAAATGGAGCTTTGAGAATAGAAAATGAAAGTTTAAACAAAATAAAATACAATAAATAAAATTTAAAGAATGAATAAAAATGTAAAATGGTATGCGTATTTGATTTTCTAGAAGGGGTTTGGGTTTTATTTTGAACGTATATTGGTAAAATATAGGTTTGTTTCACATTGTTTCATATGGTGGAGATGTAATAAGTCTGTTCTACTTTGTTTCATTCTGTTATAGATAAAAGTTTTATCAAACAAAAAACAATAATCCATGTTTTGTTGTCTTATTCAATATACCAAACACATTCTAAATAAACTAAGTCAAGAGAGGTTAGATCTGAAAGTTTGCAGCCTATTAAGAATTTTTGAAAGTGAAATAAGATAAATACAAAGAGGCATATGAACTAAACACTTCAAATCTATTATTCATTATCATCCACTATTGTTTATGAAATAACCCCAGAATATAGAAATAGATTGGTATTTCTTATATTTAATATTATATATTATAGTTTAAGAGTGTTATTATAATCTTTGTGTTAGTTTTATTTGGGTCCTGATAAAGAGTAGAGTTAAAGTAAAAAAGTGTAAGAAGATATCTTTATCCGCATATGCACATTAGGATGAGATGTACCGGATCAAAACTCAATCGAGCCGAAATAAAGGAGCAGGCCTTGGAGTAGGCCCAATCTGGAAAAGACCGACCTATTAGAGCCTGGATAAGCTCGAGTATGCTGCACTCCGATTTTAAAGAGCTTGCTCGAAGACAACATTTGAAAAAAGCCTGAAAAAACCATTTTTCAAACCACAAAGCTCCGGTTTAAACTGAGCCTAAAAAGCATTGAACTTTTTCCATCATTGGGTGTTTGAGATTGTTTATAAAAACAACTTATTGACTTATTCCGGTGTGACACCGGTAATAAACACTTTTCAGTGTTTGAATAAATAACTTATACCGGTGTCAAACAGATAACATTGAGTTTTTGAAGAAGTTAAATCTTTCTGACTTATAATAAGTTAATAAATGCTCTTATAAAAAAACATAAGTTGTTTCAAATATCTTTTTCATTTTCATGAAATTATATTTTTTTAATTAACAAAATCTTTTGTATCGTATTTCTTTTTGTATATCGGACCTTTGGGCTTCAAAGGAAATGGAGTCGGCATCATCTCTGTTTTGCTTTCTCACATGAAACTCCGACTCCATACCATGTTCCGCTTCTCCACCTTCTTCCGATCTCATGGGTTTCGCTACTCCACCATTTCCGCCAATCGGAAACCCCATTTGCTGGTGGATTACCTTATGAATTCCCTTCGATTCTCCAAACAAGACGCCATCTCCGTCTCCACCAAAGCTAAGGTAACCCATCTCAAATCCACCATGAATTCTGATTTAGTTGTTGATATCTTCAAAACTTATGGATTAGACCTATCCCAGATCAGACAAATCGTCTCTTCTGTTCCCAAAATCCTAACTTGCAAAGCAAACAAAACCCTAGAACCCAAAATTAGGGTTTTTCAGGAACTTGGGTTATCCGGGTCGGATCTAGCTACTATCGTTAGAAAGAATCCCGAGATTTTTGCGTTTGGTTTACATACTAGGATCATGCCCGGTCTTCAACTTCTTAGAAAATTATTTGGCAGTGATGAAAAAGTGATTGAAGTCATGAACAAATCAAGATGGTTGTATTTCACAAATAGTTCTATGAAGAGATTATCAACGAATGTGTCGTTGTTGCGGAATTTCGGTCTGGTAAATGAGAGAATCACCATGTTTGTTCTAAGCAACCCCGAGAAGGTTATGGTGAACCCGGAGTTGCTTGAAACTAGGTTGAATTATGTAGAAGACAAATTGGGGATTTCTCGTGAATCACCTTCCTTCATTCATGCTTTGAGTGTGGTTTTATGGCTGACCGATTCAGAAATGGAGCAGAAGATGCAAATCTTTAGGAGTTTTGGTTGGTCTGATTCGGATATAGCTTTGTTGTTTAGGCATCAACCTTACTGTTTGAACAAGTCGGAAGCTAACATCCGTGACAAGTTGAAGTTTTACATGAAGGATCTTGGGTATACGCCTTCGTACTTGATAAGCTGCGCATCTTTCTTCACATTCAGTTTGGATAAAAGGGTTATACCCAGGAACATGATGTTGAAAATCTTGAAAGAGAAGAAGCTAGTGAACGATAAGCCATCTCTTATTACGATTGCATCCTATACCGAGTCAAAGTTTCTTGAATTCTTGCGGGGTTTTGAGGATGAGATACCCTCTTTCCGTGAAATCTACTTGGATAGTGTCAAGAGAGTTTCTTAAGTCGGTCTTTGTGCATGATCCGTTTTGGGGTATCTTGAAAGGTAACGTGACGTTTCTTCCCAAATCACCTGTTGAGAGTTTACTTACGTTCGCCTTTTTACATTCCGATAATTGGATTACGAAATTCATGTTGACGGTTTATGTTTGTCGAGCTTCTGTTCATGATGAATTGAGTTATAGGAATGCTAGAAACTGTTGTAGGATAGAAGGAGATGGATTGGGGATATGAGAATTGTTTTAGAAGATGAGATGAAGCAATATTTTTGAAGTGATGATATGATCTATTGCTATTAAATTTCTTGATATTGTGAAGCCATTTGTTTTCTAATTTGAATGAAACTTGCATTAGATTTAGATAAGGACCAATAGGGGTGTTTGGGATTGCTTATAAAAACAACTTATTGACTTATTCCGGTGTAGCATCAGCAATAAGCACTTTTGAGTGTGTGGATAAACAATTTATACCGGTGTCAAACCGGTAATAAGAAGTTTTTGAAGAAGTTAAACCCTTCTGACTTATAATAAGTTGATAAGTGCGTTTTTATAAAAAAATATAAGTTGTTTTAAAGAAGCAATCCCAAACACCCCTACATTATTTTAACCCAAAAAAGTTATCTAGAACAGGTTTAGATAAGGTTTTGAAATTAAAAGACCTAAATTAGTTTTACTATTTCCAAATCAAGTGCCATTCAAACCTTTCACACCCAACAACATCACTCCCCCTAGTTGCCCCATCCGTTCTTTGTACCGCTTATCACCGCAGTAGTCCCTTGTTATTGATCTCTTTGTTTTTTTCTTTTGATTCTCCATTTTTTACAACAAGCGGACGACAATGGGTGTTGAGGGGGAGTGATGATGTTGGGTACGAGAGGCGGTAAATATGATTTAGGTTTTTTTTATTATTATTTTAAAACATTCTTAGTCGGCTACATGTGCTTTTTTGAGTTAAAATGATGTAGTAACCACTTTTTGAAAATTAGATGGTTTACTTATTTAAGAAAAATGTTCAAGGACTTGATCATTTAAAATATGGAAATTTAATGATTCAAATATTCAAAAAAGAAAATCGAGGAATTAATAATTCAAAATGATAAAAGCAAAATTACAAACATGTGATTATGAGATCAATTGATAAGATACCATTTGTTATGCAATAATCCTAGGGGCATATCAACCCATATAGCCTCCAACAACTAAACCTTAATGATAGCATTTTGGTTGGTAGATCAAATTTCATTATCTCGTTTGGTTCATTGTTTTTTACGAAAGGAATTTTTAAAATCCTATAAATTCCATAAATAAAATAATTTAACATTCCTTAGCAACTATATGAAATTTTGATGGAATGAAATTCTATATTTTCATAATACCAAATATGTTCTTAACCCAATATACCTAAATATCATAAAACCCAATATGACCATTGTTGATCACCTTCAACCACCGTCGATCTGAACTACCGTCGACCATCGCCATCTGAACCACCGTCGACCACTACAACCGACTACCACCGATCTGAACCATCGTCAACCACCACCTATCTGAACCACCGTCGACCACTACAACCGACTACCACCGTCGACCACTACCACCGCCAATCTAAACCACTGCGATCTCACCATCTAAACCATCATAGACCACCGTCGATCTGAACCACCACGATCACCACCATGATCACCACCGATTTGATCCGCCGTCGATCTGAGCCACCATGGACCACCACCGATCTGAACCACTGTCGACCATCGCTCCATCTAAACCACAACGGACCACCAACGCTCTGAACCATCGCCAACTACTATCGATCTGAATCATCTTCGGCTATCGCCGATTTGAACCACATTTGATCACTGCCACCTGAAGCACCACAGACCACGACCGATCTGAACCATTGCTGACTACTACCGATATGAATCATCGTCGGACACCGCCAATCACCAACTATTTGAACAACCACTGATTTGATCTACCGTCACAACCGCCAATCTAAACCATTGTTCATCTGAACCACTGTAGACCACCATCGATTTAAACCACTGCAGACCACCACCGATCTGAACCACCGCCGACCACCGTTGATTTAGTAACGTCATTTGGCATATGGTTATATTTGGGTTGTGTATTTTATATTGTTTTACATATTTAATAATTATTTCATTAAAGTAATTTTAGTTTTAAAAAATTAAAATTTTCAAAAAAGAACATTTTGGTCATTTACTAACATTTCATTCCAATTCAAAAACTACATTTTATGAACCAAACAGACATATTCCAATTCCTTAAACAGATTTCATTTCAATGTCTGTCAATCAAACAGGTGGTCAAACCTGACAACATTCCATTACAATTCCTTCAAAGTCAAATTCTTTTAACAAATTTCATTTCATCCAAAAACATTCTGCAAACCAAACATTACCTAAGTGTCTTTAACCTAACGATATCTGAGCTTCTAACCTTCCAGAAGGTCAAGAGGGTGTGTATGAGTTTATATACTTGAAAACTTATCACCTTAATATGTTGTTATAGCTGGCTTATTACCAATAACTCGTAAGTGGCTCACACATGGATCGAAACAATAGTATATATATATATATATATATATATATATATTAGATTCGATCCCGTGTATTACACACATTATTTATTTGTATATACTTTTAAAAAACCTAAATGTTTTATATTCATCCAAAATCAAAACCCATATGCTTAAATCAGTAGCCATCGACTGTTTTCAGGACCTCTGGGATTTGGCAGTGGCACCCACAGTTAAAAGAATATCATAATGACTTTAGAAGCTATACGTGCCAAAATAGAGTGTGGGATTACAACACCCCTAAATTTGTTTCCAATTTTACATCATCACCTTGGTCCCGATAATTCGACTGCATGCAAGTTATCAGTGGAATCAAGAATCCAATCGGAGTTGGGAAGCGGCACAAGATCCAGTTCATGGCGGAGGACCTCCACCTTCTGCCACTCCTCCCATCTTTCCGCCAACCCGTCCCCTTCCAGCATCCTAACCACGTCCGACATCTTTGGCCGGTCCATCGGAGACCCTTGTGTGCATAGCAACGCCACCTGTATCAGTTGTTCCACTTCCGTCGCTATGTAATTCGTTTCTAGATCCGGGTCAACCAGCATCTCCAGTTTCTTCTCTTTCAAAAGCCCTTTCACCTGTAAAACCAAACTAAGCCACTAAATCCATAGCTGTCTATTATAAAGTTGATTTTGTTGTAAAAATTGCAAGAGTGTGCAAAAAAAGGAGTATGATTAACAGAAACTGTGTGGATAAAAAATAGAGCTAGAAATGCATACCCAATCGAGTAACATAACATCGTCGTCATTAGCTAGTCGAGCAAGATCGAAGGCTCTCTGTCCGGTAATCAGTTCCAAAAGCATGATCCCATACCCGAAAACATCTGTTTTTTCTGATGATTTTCCGGTCGAGAGATACTCGGGAGCGATATGCCCGATCGTGCCACGTACAGCGGTTGTAACATGCGTATCCTTGTAGTCCATGAGTCTAGCCAAACCGAAATCTCCAACAACAGCCTCGAACTCCTCGTCCAACAAAATATTTGCTGCTTTAACATCACGATGAATGATCTTCGGGTCGCAATGATCATGCAAATACGAAAGTCCTCTAGCAGACCCTAGAGCAATGCGTTTCCGAGTAGGCCAATCCAGTGGCGGCTCGTTTGGTGGGCGCTCTATAAATACGCAAAATAATGTAAGAATAGTTCTCATGGGAAAGCTCATTTTACAAGCAAAAGAATACGGTTACCTCTCAAACATGATGCAACACTTCCGTTGGCCATATATGGATAAACGAGTAATCTTTCGGTAGGTGTCATACAAAATCCCCTTAAACGAAGGAGATTACGATGAACAGCCATGCTAATCATCTCGACTTCCGTTTGAAACTGGAGCTCTCCACCAGGCGTTCGTTCTTCCTTCAGTCGTTTTACAGCCACCAACGAGCCATCAGCTAACCGTCCTTTGTATACTTTACCAAATCCACCTCTACCCAATATGTTTTTGTTGCTAAAACTATCTGTTGCAACTTGCAACTCCCTTAAAGAAAATCTTTTAAGTTGTCCCAAATGAACTTCGGGATCTTCTTCAGCTGCATACAAATGCTTTACATTAAGACTGAAACGTGAAACATTTGCTATTGAATGCACAAACTACTAACCAGGCACGTCAAAGAAAAATTCTTGAGGCTTTCGGCGGCGCCACCATGCAAATGCAAGGGCAGGGGCGGCAAACAGTAGTGCCGCCCCAACAGCAACTCCTCCAGCTATGGCTCCAGTAGCACTTTTTCCTCCTGAAACACAATGCAACTATCTCTGTTAGTATAAACCAAACAAAAGGAGCACAGTATACCCACCTGAAGGTGGGTCCACCAGCCCGGGAGGGGGGGCAATAGTAGACCGGCTGATTCCGCGCAGACCCAGTATATCTCTATGACTATACTAACATGAAATACGTAATTTAGGATTCACGATATATACGAGGCAATCACCTGGTACAGCAATCGGGGGTGGTTGCACAAATGGTGGAGGTGGAGAAAACGGAGGGGAACCCGGACAAGGACGTCCAGTAACGGGCCCACAAAGATCCAGGTTATTAGCAAAACTGAGAATTGGGCATTACATAAGTACCATTCTTAAAAGTTGGAACCAAACTTAATAAAGAATAAACAAGGCTATTTAGCAAACCTGATCGGCGTAAACAGCGAGAAGGAGCCACTATCTGGAACTAGTCCTGAGAGACGATTATTTGATAGATCCCTAATAACAGATAACACGGAGATGTGCCATGTAAAAAGAATATAAATAATGATGAAATGGACCTATGTGTGTGTTTATGTGTATATATAGGAGAGCAGGGGTAAAATTCAAATGAGAACCATAAATATTTTAAGAACCTCGAAACCAACTATTTCATGTATTATTCATGATGAATAACCGTGAATAATCATGAATATCATGTTTTTTCATCATGATAATTATATATTTTCATCATGAATATAATGCATGTTTATTAATTATTATAAATAATATTCATCATGAATATCTATCAGTAAAAAAACATGAATAGTTTGTTCTCAAGTTCTCAAAATATTTACGGTTCTCATTTTAACCTTCCCTAGGAGAGTAAACGGCCAGAAGTCGATGACAAATCCTCAGAAATTAGCTGCTGAAATTAGTCAAATATTTTGCTTCCTTTCCATCTTTCATATGCATATGTATATAGGTGTATGCATGTACATAAGTATGTGCATAGATGCATGTGTGTATAAATATATTTGAATATACATATGCATGTATATGTACTATGTATGTATTCACAAACACAATAGAGAGAGAGAGAGAGAGAGAGATAGGAGAAATACTCACAGCACTTGCAACGACGTTATATTAGTCAACGGCAAAGGAATTGGACCAGTCAGGCTGTTATTGTTAAGCCGGCTATCCTTGCAGACAAGAGCCAAAATCATTCAATTGAACTAAATCATTCCAAAATGTTTTTCAATATACCAATGAAAATGCAATAAAGCATGGCATACAACACCAGTTCCATTCATCGCATTGCAACATCAGCAAGTTCTGTTTTGGGATGTCTCGTGAAAATCGCAACATTTCCATTTTCATGAAGTTGTTCTAGTTACAATCACCCACCAACACGGGTAGAAAAAATTGGTATCAACTCATGATTGAAGGGTATTTTACACATTTATGTTATGTTCTTGAGTTTGGAGAGAAAAAAGAGGGAAAAGCGACCATTACTGTTCTACAAAACTGACTTTAAGAATCTAACCCTCTAGTGTAATTTCAAGCTTTTACAGTGGTAGGCTGTTAAATACCAGAGGTAAGACTAACTGAAAGCTCATTTAAGGTTGCGGCCTTTTTTGGGGAGGGGGAGAGGGGGTATTTCTTCACTTCCCACATAGTTGTAAGCTCATAAGCCTGACATTTTGACATGTAAGCAAATATTTGAAGACATTATCAAAACTAAAGAAACTTAAAAGGCGAGTAAGTAGTATACATACAGGAACCGCAACTTCGAGAGCTTGCCCAATGTGACTGGAATCGGGCCAGAGAAACCATTGAGATACAAATCCAAACTCACCAAGTTTGTCAGATTTCCAAGGTCGTTGGGGATCGGACCACTTAAGTTATTGCTGTATAGTTCTCTGCAAAAAAACAATTTCAAGAAACATGTATGATTATTTACACAAGCCAAGAACACATAAAGTTTGCATTGGTAAATAATGACATTAATATTAATCACAAGCTTGATCCATCACAATGTTTCAAACTTGGTCCAGCCCCCTCTTGACACTCGGGGACAACATGTGTCCGTATAGCCTCCATTGGAAGGGGAGCGTTAAAGTCTAACATCGGCTAGATTAGAGCCATTTCTCCTTTATACATGTTGGGACCTCCCTTCTTTTGGAGAGTATTGAGTTTCCAGATATTCTCACAAAGGCCCAACCCAAGATTCTTACTTTTAAGAGACCAGGATGAAGGGTAATGAAATCAAGTAGTTTCCTAAAATCCAAACTTACAAGTACTGCAAATTCTTCAAAAGTCCAAGTTGCGAGACTAAAGTACCAGAAAGAGCTGCATTTCCCAAATCACTGAGAAAAGTTATCAAAAAAAAAGATGTCATGGATCCATTTATGTAAAAACCTCGAAGTTTTGTAACATACATACATACATACATAGAAGATGGATAGTAACAAGACAGACTTACACTCTTATAACACTGTTATCATTATTGCAGGTAACATGAAACCATGTGCAAGGATTAACAAGAGTTGGATCCCAACTTTGAAGCACACTATTAGGATCCTTTAAGTTGGTCCTCAAACTATGCAAAGCATCACCTGTAGAGACACAACCATAAGTTATAAATCTTGGGATATGGATAACCATACATAGAGTAATAGTTGCACAAAATGAAAGGTTTAACAATTTTCCTACATCCAGGCTTGTTGCTAGGAAGTGGGGCCTAGGAGGGAAAAGGGCTGTTAGGTTGGTTTTCTTTTAAGTCTAGTATGGATATGGATAAAGTTGTTTGTTTGGATTAATCTATCTATAGATTGGGAAGGTTTTTGTTTGGAGGGTTTTTTCGTTGATGGAAGAAGTGTGCTTTTTAGTTGGAAAAATCTTGGCTTTCTACATAAAGCTCCCCTTAGAAGCTTAGTGAATAAGCCACTTTCTATATCATTAAGCCACTACTAAACAGTGGTATATATATAGCTGACTGAATAAGCTGTGAGAAACAGGTCTTGAGATGTATGGAAATGTGACCTCTACCCACAAAGAGTAAGGGGGCTGTTTCTGTTATTTGATTATGTTACAGTCATCAGATTGTACCAACAAAAATTAAAAAATTGCTACAAATCAAACCATTTGAAGAACATTTTAGAGCATTTTAACAAATCAAACTATCACATTTCCATAAAAGAAAAAGAAATTTTACAACATTACAATATAGCAGTCAATATGATGGGGAAACAGACAATCCAACAGTAAAACACATAGCACATGCAAATTCTCCATCAAATTGATTCTACTACTAAATTTAGCAGCCTAAAGATGCACAATATGAAAGATAGATTAGTCAAACCTATAATTAGAGAAACCCTAAATTTAGAAATTACTGGAAAGCAACAAATAATTAAATGGCATATGTAAGTTTTATGCACATCGAAATCTCACCTTCCACGTTTGCATAAACGAGCTTAACTGGATGAACCACCATTATCAACCATACCACAAACGACATCGCCGATTCTCTCCTCATCACATTCGTATTTACATAAAAACTAATTCTCGGCAGATTATACGACTTCAAAAATCATCTGAAAAATCCAAATAAAACACACCCGTATGCAGCATTACAGGGAAAACAGATGATCCCACAAAAACCCTAACCCAAAACCCTAAATTCCTTCAAATATCTACCATTGCGAACTAGCAAACAACATTGTCTGAAACGAAAGCTGGATCTCATATATAAAGCAAATATCGGGGGGAAAACCAAAAGGAAAGTCGAAAATTTTCCTTTCGGACCTATCTTTTTGCGTTCCTTTTTGCAAACTTTTCGCTTGTTCTCCCCTACCCGCCCCCACCTCCTCTCTGCTTAGCTCTGCGCACTGCAGATGCAGAGTTTGTATGTTAGAGAGAGAGAGAGAGAGAGATTAGTAATGTCTTTTTGGGCGTGTGCCGTAGTTTTTGAGAGCTGCCAGCAATATTTATGATTTTATTTTTCTTAGTTATATCGACACATGCTTCAATTTAAAATGAAAATTATAATTACAATTTAGAGTTTATTTCATATAAAAAAAAGTTAAGATGAGAAAACATAAGAATAGATCTTTATATTTGGATGTAGGATGAGATGTATCGAAGTATACCAGATCAATTCGCGTATCAAGCCAGTATATATATATATAGGGGCATATTCAAGGGAGAACTGAGTTGTTTGTGGTAACTGTGAGAATCAATATTAACCACAAATCAATAGATAAATTAAGAAATTTATAAATTTGGTAATTTTAAATTAAAATCTTAATGCAACGATATTTTTGGTATTTTAAAACTCTCCTCTCTTCTCTCTCCGGCCTTCGGCCACCGTCCTCCGGTGATACCACTGTGATACCTAAAAATATTGACTCTGTTAAACAAAAGATACATTGTGATACCTAAAAATATTGACTCTGTTAAACAAAAGATACATTGTGATACCTAATCATGTATAAGATGCATAGTGATACCACTGTGTTACATCTTCGATCGACCACACAAACGACATCAATGTGATACACAAGCACATATATGATGCATTGTGATACCATTGTAGTATCACCGGAGAACGGTGGCCGGCGGACGGTGGCCGGAGAGAGAAGAAAGGATGGAGGAAAGTTGTAAAATACCAAAAATATCCTTGCATTAAAATTTTAATTCAAAATTGTCAAAATTATAAATTTCCTAATTTATCTATTGATTTGTGGTTAATATTGGTAGTCACAGTTACCACAAATTAATTAGTTCTCATTTGATTAGGCCCCTATATATATATATATATATATATATATATATACTTGGGATCATGTGAGACCAATGGTTTTTCGTGAAACCCGTAAGACCAATTCTCAACCCTTGGATTAGATCTACAATCTGAAAATCTAAACATTCATAAACGCCACGAGACTTCTCAATAATCACAAAATTGTCACCGTGCAA